GTATCCTAAAAACGTGTTGGATCACGTATAATTATAAATCGAGATTTAAAGACTCCAAATGCACGTTCAACATCTTTTCTTGTTGACATTTATCATTGAACAAATGATTATCTTTTGTCCTTGTGGCATTGAAATAATTTTAACAAATGTGGCAAAATCTAGATAAATATCATCTGCTAAGTAATATTTCATATCATATTGTGTTCCATAGTGCATTGTAGGTGCAAAAACTAACATAATTTCATCAAATACATTAGATGCATTTAACACAATAATATCTCGTGGTACCAAAAAATGTATGTCTAATCTACAAGTCTTGTAATGTCACAGCTTCAAGAATAATTATCGAGTTAACATGATCACCTCGACAAAATTGATTTTTTCATGCAAGTGGACAATTTTTTCATTTCAAATGCATGCAATCAATCAACCCTAACATACCTGGAAAGTCATGTGTAACTATCATTTGTAGTAGTTGATTAATGTCTTCGTTATGACCTTCTTCACGATTTCGATAAACTATCTTTCTTCTGAATATCCCTATCATTGTTGTTGACTTGTTGTTGGTACTCAAGTAGTAACCTCATGATTTTTTCATTATTGTTATCTTCATCTATGACTTATCTAACAATGCATTTAAATCAATATTTTCAAATTTCATTATATGGATAATTGAAGTATTTGAAAATAGAAAAATATTACTCATATTTAATATCATTGGAGGTGGTAGAAACATAAAAAATAGTGGTAGATAGATATAATTTTGAAAATTTTCACTTGTAAGAGATGAATGATTTTGTAATAAATTGATTGAGATCATATAAGAACAAAAATGGTGAAATGAATGATACCTGAAATTTTGTTGTCATTAATAAAGGTTTTATAGTATAAAAAAAGGCAAATCAATGACAACTCAACAATAAAAAATTGGACAGTGAAGGTAAATGACTATATTTTTTCTAGTAATGGATACATCTAACTGTCCAATTTTATTTTTCATCTCCAACTCAATTTATGTTCTTCGTTTCCAAGTTCTCCGTCTCCTCTCTCCTCCCTCACCTCTCTTTTCTCCATTTCAGTTTCTCTTCACTCCTTTTTTGCTTTGTCTCTGCATTTGTCTACTTCCACCTTCACCTTCATTGTTCATATTTACATTCGTCTTTATTATCGGCTTCCGTCTCCACCTATGCTATATGTATGTGTGTTCGCCTTCACATCTACCTCTGCGTCCCTTTCCTCTTCCAGTTGTTGGTGCAATTTTTGTCTCTAATTAATATATTTTTATTTTTATTCTAAAATTAATTATTGTTAATTGATGATTATTGTTGTTACTAATTAATAATTTTGTAATTTTTTTATTAAAGATGATTTAGATGGATGGAAACTTTTGATTAAAGAATAATAATTTTGTTGTATTTAATGAATTTAATATTAATATTTTATTTGGAGAAAAAGGTTATTTTACGAAGCACTTTTCTATTTATTTGGTGCAACTCCATGGCATATCATCTTTTTGGGTCACTTCAAGTAGATAGGAAAATTTTGGAAAAAAAATTAAAACATTCTACGTAGGAGATGCTCTTTAAAAAGATTGGGACGAAACCACGTCATTCTTGAAGGGTCTTATTGCAATGGATGTTTGCTCCACTCACGGTTGCATCAACAAACCATCAATTTTGTGACAACAAATGAAACCTGTATGATAAGTTTGGCAACTACTTCAAAATTTATTCTGGTAGAAATTATTAATATATTTAAATAAAATGATTTATTATATTTGTTAAATAATTGTATAATTAACAGGTATAACAGGACAAAGTTTCATCATTTCAAAATTTTGTAATATTTATATATATATATATATATATATATATATTTGTTTCCAAAATTTAATAATTCTTAAATATATTTATTTATATACTTATAATTTTAATTTTTTATAATTTATATTTATTTTTTTATTAATAAATATATTATTTTATCTATTTTTATACACACTTTATTAATAATGTACTTATGACAACACCAAATAATATCATTAGTATTATATAATTAGTATTACAATATACATGCACATTAATTATATTAAATAATATTAATATATGTATTTAATTAATATTTGATGCATTTAATGTTAAAATTTCGTACACTTAAGAAAGCTAATTGTATTATATATTCATTGAAAGGAAATAAGATAAATAAATAAAATGAAGAGTGTTTTTTATTTTTTATTTTTTATTAGTGGTAAATTTTCTGCTAATTGCGTAAAGGTAAGGTAATTAGGTTTGTGTTCCTTTATTTATTTATATATATATATATATATATATATATATTTTAAATTAAAGATAAAATATTTAGATATAAATGTATTTAGATTGAAAAGTGAATTTAAAGGAGAGGAAAATATGAGAAAAAAAAGAAAAGTAAATTATTTAGATTAAAAAAAAGGAAAATGAATGAAAAATAAAATAAATTTATTTATTATTTTAATATATATTATAAAATTATTTATTATAATAATAATATAAAAAACCATAATATATTAATTAAAAAAATTTAAACATAATTGATTATGTTTTTATATTATGTCCAATTTTTTAAAAGTTTTAATTTTTTTTACAGTAAAATGCATTAAATCTACTTATGTCTTATACGTTTTCGGTAAAAATAAATAAATAATGAATTTGAGTCATTAAATCTTTAATAGTTTGTTTTTTACATTTCAATTTTAAATAAAAAGATAAAACTATTTGAATTAATTGCAAAGAGATAAAATCATTTGAATTCATTGCAAAATATATACCAAAAAGAAGTGGGCCATTACTAATAATAGTTTTTTAATAATGCACGTCAAGTTGGTCCAAAGTTAGATACGATAATTGTAGTGTCATGCTACACATGCTTGTATAAGGTAAATAGTACATCAAATGCCCCTTAAAGCCATTAAAAAAATATATAAATATTATAAATGAACGATGCAATAATGTCAAGAGTATTTATTAAGTTAGATATTTTCTATCATAATCTAATTTTTCTTTGATATTGAATTGAATTCAATCAAATTTTATATGATCCAATTTTTTATTCATTAAATGACAAGTAATGATTTTTTTAAAAATATTTTAAAGAACACAAAAAGTATTTAAAAATTCATTTAATCAGATTAAAGGTGAATGAAATCTTAAAATCCCATATAATATGATAATTAATATATATATATATATATATATATATATATATATATATATATATTAAAAGAATATAATAACGTATTATTATTCATCATGTAAGCAAAGAAAACTTAACATAATCACCGGAGCGTGACACATAGCTTTTCTTATTTATTATAATTACTTTTTAGCAACAACATTTTTAATTAGTGATTATTTTTTAAGATAGAAAAGTATTTTTATTTGTTACAAAGATTTTTCTAAATGTTCAAAAATTAGATCTCTATTAACACATGTTATAAAATAAATCAATAATATGTGTTCTTTAATTTGTCCCACTATCTTGTTTTTTTTTCTTTTTTTATCATGTCAATAATAAATTAATGTATATTTGTTTATAACAATGAATAAATTATTAAATTTTAACATATATAATGAAAACATTAATTCTTTTTTTGGACAATTACTCCCCTAAAATTGTTTTATTGATTTTTTTTATACACAGTTGTTATTTACCTACTCAGCTCTCTTGTAAAAAAAATGATTAACTTTCCTTCTACCTTTAATCTACTGTAAAATCCATTAACATATAAGTTATTCACTCGTTTTGTTTTGAACGTCTAAAAGTTATATTGGGAACATTATTATTAAACATGGTTATAAGTTAAATAATTTAATTCTATAAGTATTTTTTAAATAAATTTTAAATTCATGATTTATTAATTAAAAATTAATTAAGTTTTGGATATTAATTAAAATATCTACGAATAGCATTGAAAATTAACTAATTAGTTAAATATTTAATATATTTGTGACATTAATTAAATTTAATGCATCTTATCGAAAGCCTTCGTTTCATACACTTTTATTATTATTTTTCAAACCACACCATATCCATCCAATTTTACTACTAATCATGATATTCTTTCCAAAGTCTATAGATCACTCATATATATATATATATATATATATATATATATATATATATATATATATATATATATATATATATATATATATAAACTAAAATACATTTTATATAAATTAAAATTAACTTATTTCTTATAGATTTTTTTCATATTAATTTATTTAAAAATGGTTTTCAATTTATACATAACATACGTTAAATTTAAATTTAATTTTTAATTTTAAAAAATTACAAAAGAAAAATTTATCAAAACAATTTTTTCTCTCTCTCTATATATATTGATTTTTTGTTTTTTCATATTAAATATTGATACAGTTTTTCAAACCCCTCTAGTTCCTTCGTTTGTCCCTTAGCAATCATAGCATACACGACATCAACTTTTCTTCCTTCACATTTACACTCCACCAATTAGTTACAAGTCTTTTAAATAAAAATAATAATCCAGCGTTAAGAAAGTAAAATAGTTTTCTTATTTAAAATAATTCCACCCTTGGGAAGTTAAACTTTCGTTACACAGTTGTGTCAGATTTGACAGTGCCAATTTCATGAAAATTCTCAGAATTTTGAATTTAGAAATAAAGAGTAAAAACAAAAATTCAAATAAGGAAACAATATTTTGAGGCATAAATATACTTTTTCTCTTGTGTCAGTGGATAAATGATGTTGTCGTTAGAAGTCTACTTCACAATAAACGATAGTACACATGGTACATTCATGTGAGACGAGACGTGAGGTATCATTATAGTCTTGAACAGATTTTCAAATTCAGTTGATTTTTATTAAACGCATAGTTTTAATTGGAGCGATAAATGGTTGATTTGTTACCTGTTTTTTCATATTCAGAATCTCCGTGAGCTTTGCATGTGCCATGACCTTTCTCGTTAATCGATTCATCAATCGTCATGGAAACGAATTTGGGTTCGGATCCAACGCTTCCGCTTCTCCAAAACCACAATCATCAGAAGAACTCCGCTGACAACGGTGACCGGAGCCACCAATTCACTCGCCGGAACTCGGTTAACTCGCTCAGAGCCTCCTTCTTCTCCGAGCTTCCCGATAAGATCCGTTCTGGCCTCGACTCCGAGTCTCCCTACGACGACATTCACCTCTCCTCCACCACCGCCTTAAGCAAAGGTCTCTCTCTCTCTCTCTCTTTATATATGTATATACATATGCATACATGAAGTTGAATGAATATTTGTATATAGATATGTTTGGTATTTAATTTATATTGAATAACTGTTCGCAAAATCTATGATTGAATGGATATTTGTGTTATGCATATATCATGCGCGTGAAGTTTGTCTTGTATGTAAAGTGAAATGTGAAGTTTGTGTCGTATGTAAAGTGAAATGTTAACGGAAAATTCTTGAATGCTGTGATGTAGAGTGAAAAATCGAGGAATTGTTGAATGCTGTGCGTGTTCTTGAATTGTTTTTTTTTTTTTTTTTGGTTAAGCTATTCACTTAGTTTTTCATTTTGTAATTTTCTAGCCTCTGCATACTTTTATTTAACAATTTATCACTGTCAGGATGTTTTTGTGGTAGTTTTACGCCGTTATAAATTCTTCTGTCGAGTTACCGTCACGGAGCACAATTTTATTTGTTTGCGTGTTTTGGTTTAGAACTTAAATGGAGATGACTATAGGAAGATGAAATGAATCGTTTAACCTTTTATCTTTCTTTGAACTTATAACTTGGTTGAATTTTACAGGGGAGGTAGAATACTATGAAAGACAATTAGCTACTCTGAAATCGTTTCAGGAAGTGGACTCCGTGGTGTCATCCGATTGCATTGATGAGGAAGATGGTGATGAACAAGTTCAACAAGAAAGAGCAATGAAGATTTCTAACTATGCAAATGTAGCATTGTTGATATTAAAGGTGATAGATTTTTCATTTTGTGTGTTTCTCTCGAATGCATGTTTTAAATATGAAGTAGCGACCAAGTCATGAAAGGATTCACTTGAGTTTTTAGGAGATAAATGATTGTTTGAACTAGTTCAGATCCTGTTTGGATAAATCTCTTCACAATTACTTATTAGAGAAGATAATAAGAAAGAAAAATAAATTAAAACTTAAAATTATATTATTTACAAATTAGTTTTAGAAGAACTAAATGATAGAACTTCTATATATTAATGATCGCATAAGTTTATTTGAACCTCTGGGTGAAGCTTAATTGATTCTTTAAACTTGTTTAATCATAATTAACTCCTGAAGTGTTTGTTTTTCTATTGTACTTGCTGATAATTTTTCTGAAAAATAACAATGTCTAGGGTTATGCCACTGTAAGGAGTGGGTCAATAGCTATTGCGGCATCAACTTTGGATTCTCTGCTTGATCTCTTGGCTGGTGGAATACTTTGGTTCACTCACCTCGCAATGAAGAACATAAATATCTATAAATACCCAATTGGAAAGCTAAGAGTTCAGCCAGTTGGCATTATTATCTTTGCAGCAGTAATGGCAACACTTGGTAGGTCAAACTGACTTGAACTAGTCCTATCTTCAACACTGTCCATTATGCTCTTACGAGTTTATTCAAAAGTGTTGCCCTCTCATGGGAGGTGCATGCTACTATACCTGTTTCATTTAGATTAAATTCATATAAAAGTTTTCTTTTTTTAGGTAAAAAAGACTTCTGATTCAGTTTTAAATTTGGATGTGAATCTGTTCATGCTTAATTGATGCAAACCAATATGAAGGAATCAAATTTCTTTACCATTGCTCTTGTCTATAGAATCCAACTGGTTGAAATTGTAATGTCTATGGTAAACTTATAGAGATAATATTGTTTCGGAAACAATTATTTAAAGGCTTTGTTATTTACCAAAATTAAGAAAAGGATCAGCTTTAGGTTATGGCTGATGACAGGTTATTTACAGAATTTCTAATATGATGACAGGCAGGTTTAGAAGCATATTTTTTTCATTGGACCATAAGTCAAAAGGTCCTAGCATGAAAAAGAATGCTGCAGGGAGTATATCTTTATCGTCCCAAGCTTTTATGCCTCATAATTGACAACATACAGCTTTTTGTAATACTAGAATCAGAAAACTTTATATTAATTTTGTTAATGAAATGATGAATAAAAAGTGAACTTCAAGTATCGAAGTATACGTTCAAATGTAACGATTATAATCCTACTTCTTTTGAAATTGCATATTTAGTACGTTACAGTTTTCACAAACATGTTCTATTAAAAGTACTAAAATGTATTCGTACATGCATGCAAAAGAGTATATGATGCATTGAATTAATCCAATTTGCTACAGGCTTTCAGGTATTATTCACAGCTGTACAACAACTGGTAGAAAACAGTCCTACTGAACATATGACCGCGGAACAGTTAATATGGTTATACTCTATTATGCTATTTGCCACAGCGGTGAAGCTGATACTCTGGCTTTACTGTAGAAGCTCGGGAAACAAGATTGTCCGTGCATATGCAGATGTATGGGTGGTTCTCTTTTGATGTTTGCTTTATAAATGAAGTTAGAATACAATTGAACCATCTCAGAAATGCCAACTTGCAGGATCATCACTTTGATGTTGTAACAAACGTGGTTGGATTAGTTGCAGCTATTCTTGGTGATAAATATTACTGGTGGATTGACCCGATTGGAGCTATTATGCTTGCAATTTACACTATTACAAATTGGTCACGCACTGTCATGGAAAATGCAGGTATGTCTTTATCAGTATTCTGAACAGAGAAACGTTGTTAACAAGTATATATGCCCATGAGAGAAAACAATAAATGAGCATCGATAGAAATTAGCTATATTTAGTACTAGTGTTCCTGTAACGGGATATTAAATCAGGGTTCTCCAGTAAGCACAAATTACGTCAATTCTAGTAAGTAGATTTTTTTACATTTCTTGCTCTCACTGCTTCCACCAATTTTCTCAAGTCTTTGATGTCTGTCTATTAATTCTGATTCTGGATAACAACTTTCTATGTAGTTTCACTGGTGGGACAATCTGCACCTCCCGAAGTTTTGCAGAAGTTAACATATCTCGTTATACGGCACCCTCGAGTAAAGCGCGTTGATACTGTTCGCGCATATACATTTGGGGTTCTATATTTTGTTGAGGTATGTTGTATTAATACAAAATCGATTTATGGGAACTCTAGCTACAAAGCTAACCTTGTTCGCCAAAAATGGAATTATATAAGACTAGGTCTGTCTATTAATTTAGCATTCTATATTAGCAACGAACAAATAATGTTTGAGAAGTTATTGTGTAGGTCTAATTCATTCCCACCAAAAAAGAGCAACGAACAGATAGCCCTCTTGTATACCTTTTTATTATATAATGTTAGAAAATTTATTGTCTAGGTCCAACTCATTTTCACAATAACATTCACGCCGAGTAATTCGTGGCAATCATGATGTGATGTCTCCAACTGGGCTCAATTTAGTTGAATCTTCCAAATTATAACTTGAACTAAATCCGGGTCTACTGGAATTTATGGAGTACAGGCACTATGAGAAGCATTTTTACAGCCAATTATTGCCCCAGAAAATCTTACAGGTGTCATATGGCATATAAATTTAATATAGAAATTCATAAAATAGAAGTGAAGCCCACTTTATAAAAGTTTAGTTTGTGATTGAGTCCAATAATGTCATCTTAAACTCTAGTTGATCATATTTAGATAAGCCTGGTTACTATTGTTGTTATACATGCTTTCCATTCAGGCTTTCTCTTATTTTATGCTAGTTTCTTTCTTCGATATACTATACTTCACACTTTGAACATATTTGTGACGACTGAAGGGCTGGGTGGGTTTTATTAGCACTTATATTCACAATATTGATTCTACTTGCACATGGTTTATGCTTACATCAGTTCTGGTAAGTAACGCCTTGAATACTGTAACTTTTTTTTCAAAATGGTTCGCATTAACCCATGATGCTAGTTTGTGAGAAATAAATTATGTGCACGTATTAGTCTTCACAAAAAAAAAAAAAAAATTGGACGCAATTCTCATTTAGTAGAAATTAATATATTTGTTCTATCTGGATTACGCTCATTGTATGATATTTTTTAAAATTATCGATAAAATTTAAGAAGACATATTCAGTATGATTAGATTTAATGCCTCATCATTTGGATTTGATTTGGAACAGGTTGACATTGAACTGCCAGAAGATTTACCCTTAAAAGAAGCACACGCCATTGGAGAGAGCCTACAGATAAAGCTGGAGAAACTCCCAGAAGTTGAGCGGGCATTTGTTCATTTAGACTTCGAATGTGATCATAAACCAGAGCACTCAGTTCTCATCAAGCTGCCCAACAATCAGCCTTGAGCACATGTCACAGATATCTATAAAATTTGCCAACCTCTGTTGTAGAGTCTATCGTAATAATTTCTTCATGAAGAACAAAACTTTAATGAGTAGAGAAGGTCCAGCTGTTGGTATGTATGAAAACTGATACGGTAACTATTATTTTGGCAAAATTTCAATTTTCAATCAAATTGTTATTAGGTCAGAAGACTTCTACCCACTGAAAAAAAATAATCTTGTGTGCTAAAAAACAATATCATATTTTTAATTATTTTCAGAACGGCAAGGGTAAATTACCACAGCTCAGAAACAATATAAACAGCAAAGACCATATTTACTTATTTTTATTCCGTTCAATCTGTGACATAATAATGATATTTTAATACATCAAATGTGCATCTTTCAAAGTCCTAGGACATTTGGAAGACAGGTAGATACATCATTTTGCATCATTTCTAACAATGCTACAGAAACACAATTTTGCAGTTACAGTTCACACTGAAATCAACAGAAACATATCCATTCACAAGGTGGAAAGAAACACCATAAATTCAATGAATTAATGGCCTAAGCAGTAGCTGGTAAGAAAGCTCTTCCAGGCGCACGATTTGCCAAAGGTCCGTGACACCCAAGAACCTGAAAAGGACAAAAACAAAGAGTCAGTACACTGACTCTGTATACTGTCAAATCGAAATCTCCTAGTTCCCTTCTAAGTAAGAGATTTATTCTATAATAGTGAATCACATTGCAGAATTTTTTTTTTTCAAAATCATTATATCATGGTCTAAGGACAAACCTTGGCATTGACCCCATCCGGCACAAGTCTGTTCTCAGACTTCAACTTCAAATACTCACTTCGACTGAGCTTTGTAAATCCCCTGAAAATTCAAAGACAGCTACTAAATAAACGGGCATTACCACTAAATTAACGATATTTAAGCCGAAAGCTGGTTAAGAATTCGTAAATTAAATATGATTTCATCTTTCAAAATATATAAAATTTGTTTTTAGCCTTTTCAATGAAATTATTAGTTTTTTTTTAAATGCTTTACATCGTCATTAAACAATTGTCCAATATATTTAGACATATAATCTTAGTTATCATTCTAACATAACATATGCACATCATGTCATCAATAAACATTAACAGAAATTGTTTAAAATAAAAACAAATAATTTAAAGGACTAAAATACTAAGAGTGTAATATCTACGTATCATCAATATAAAAAAAATTATTTTGCAATGAATAAAAGATCATGTCTGACTTGTAAGTTTTAAGACATTGTAGAATCAGTATTAATCGATTTTGCAAATACCACAGTTTTAAGAACTAGTGCGACCACGTTTTTGACCGTAACTGTTAAATTTTCAAAATTATTGCTACTACCATCGTTTTAATATATCCGCGGTGTCTAACTTAATTGGTTAGATATATTGATATCATTTATTTGCGATTTCTCAATTATTTAATAGGGATGTTTATCGATTTCAATCTTCATATAAAATTTCAAACCAATTAAATTAGTTTGATTTTGTTAATAAAATAAATCAAATGTAATGATGATTGAACCTGAATCAAATTCAAATCAATAATATATGTTTTTTTATTATTAATAACTGTATATGAAATTGTATGATATAATTATATAGATATTTTTATATATTTTTTTATTTAATTGATATAAGTCAAATATAATATCAATTAGAATTTTTGTTACAATTTAATTTATATAAGTCTATTATAATATAAAAACATTATTTATATTTTTTTAGTGATATGACTAGTTCTTGGTTGGATTAAGTTTGTTAGGATTTTGAATTTTCTTCAAATGAATTTTCCTTTTTGAGGACCAAACCCACCGTGAAAGACCCTACAGTTTATACTATAGGGAATAATAATAAGGAAAAAAATACTTATACAACTATTCAAAATCCCATTTATCATTATAATAATAATTTTTAATTATTTTTCTTTTTATTAAATCATATTATAATTATTATATAACATATAACTTGTTAAATGCCTTGCACCACCCAAATGATAAACTAAACACAATGGCATAGTAACTAACCATTTTCTGCTGACGATGATCTTCTGACGGCCAGGGAACTTGAACTTGGCGCGGCGAAGAGCCTCCTGAGCGTGCTGACCATTCCCATCCTTACACCGAACAGAGAGCAGGACCTGTCCAATACTCACTCTCGCGCACGTCCCCTGCGGCTTCCCGAACGCCCCCCTCATTCCGGTCTGGAGCCTGTCCGCACCGGCGCACGATAGCATCTTGTTGATGCGCAGCACGTGGAAGGGGTGCACCCTCACGCGCAGGTGGAACGCGTCCTTCCCCGCGAACTTTGCCATGTACTTGTTGCAGGCTATGCGCGCCGCCTCCAAGGCCTCGCTGGAGACGTTCTCCTTCTCCCAGGAGACGAGGTGCACGCAGAATGGGAACTCCTCCACGCCTTTCTTCTTCATCCCCACGTCGTAGATTCGGATCTTCGGATCCGGAACGCCACGGCAGAACCGTGACTTCGGATATGGCTTGTTCTTTATCTGACGGTAACACCGTGCCGGTCCTGAACCACACCACACATTCACCGTTAACAGAAATTGGTACCAAAACTCCACATTCTCTTCCAATCATTAACTATCGCATCGTATTCGATCATATCATATCGTTAATTTGGTTAATAATTTTTATTGATCAACTGTGTACAAGTTTTAATTAACAGCGTAAAATTATTAATTCTACGTACCTATAATATTTAGATTTTTCTTTAATTTAAAATCAATTTATACATTTAATTGTTAGAGAAATTAAATTAAAATTGATGAAAAACTATATAGTTTAATTAATCGTTTGATGTTATACTTCAAAAAGTTCTAGGTCCTGTTGTTAGTTTCTGATTATACACATAGAATAGAGGTATAAAGACTGATTGTAAGAAAATTTACTCGGTCAAAACATAGAAGTTTAAAAGGATAAGGATTCTATGATATTAGAAAGAGAAGGAAACTAAAATCTTAAGCCTAATTAAAAAATAAAAGAAGAAAAAATTTTAACAACTGAATCTGGATTATGGAATTGAATCTGTTACGTCTGATGGCTGACAATTCTGGTTTGTTTTAGGTCAGGGACTAAAAACAATTGGCGCAGATATAGGAATTAAATCATGAAATAAATTATCTATGACCTAACTCACTTCTTCTACTAGATTTCTACACTATTCAATGAAAATATGTTTGGTGTAAACAGACATAAAGAGATTTAACATTCAAAATCACAAACTGAGGAATTGAAAGAAAGAAAGAAACGAGAGGGATTGTTGTAGCTTACTTCTTCCCATGGTGTTCGTGTTGATGAAATTGTAGAAGAGTTAACGACCGAAGGTGGAGAAGGTGGTGGTATTTAAATACTCTTCGGAGGCGCACGCGGTTTATGTTGTTGTGCGTATGAGCTTGCGTCATGTTTTCTGAAGTGGGCCCTTGCGGAGTGTCAGCCCAGAATGTTCGAGAAGAGGTTAGGCTTTTAGACCCGCTCGTTTGAGGCCCAATAATACCAATATTTCACAATTTGTTGGTCCCATTGAAAATAAAGTTAACTTGATTTGAGTTTGTTTAAAATTGCCACCGACTTAAAATGATTTCATAAAAAATAAAAAATAAAAAAAGCTCAATTCTAATTCTCTATTTACCCTTTAGTTTTTCATTTTATTTCAAATGTGTTATTTACTTATCTATTAAAATTACCATGTGAAAGTTGCTTATCGAAACACTATTAAGTCACTTGCATACAAAATTCCTACCCCTGAATGGCTCTTTCTTTATTATATTTCCACTTATTTATTCTCGAACTTCACCATTAATCCATCAAGAGAAAGATAGAAATAACATTTGCACTTAGAATTTAATTTCTATGCACCATTACTGTAACATGCCTGAGAAAACAAAAAATTATACTACAAATAACTTCTAAAATAATTATTATGAAAGATATTCTATCTGCACCTTTTTACTAGTCACAAGATAGGCTTAATTATATTTACCAATCATATCCTTGCATTTTAAACTAATAAATATGATTTAAATTAATAAACAGATAAAGGACATAATTAAAAAATTAGGATAAAGAACATTTTTTTTACTCCTTAATGTTTGTGCACGAGAAAAAATTGTGAAAAATAAGACGAGGTTTACTGTATATACTACTTTAAAATGTTTAACGGTATACATCGGTCAAAGATGAAAAATAAGGAGAGGTTATAGAAAATATTATTTGATCAAATATATTTTATCCTACGTTTTAAACAGCTGTGGAATTCTTTTTAATTGTTCAAAAAAATCTCAACTTTTAAAAAAATTCCAATTTATAGAATAAAATCTTTATAATCCAGTATCAATACAAGTCAAAGAAACAGATAAATAAAAATTAATAATTTCTAAACATGGTTGAAGAAGGAAGTTACTCTCTTATACCCATTAGGACTAGGTTATCAGTGAAGAGTTTGCATACTTCGCATAAAATTAAAAGTTCAAACTTATCCAAAGTAAATAAAGAACGAACTTCAAGCTTTTAAATAACAGTTGCTCTACTTAAAACATTTGAATAAGCTACTTCAACCAGAATTGAATTCCATTGTACTTAACTAGCACTATATAGAAACAACCAGTGTGAACAAAATCGATGTTATTTACCAGCCAAAGCTCTATCAGTCGATCATATTGTACAAAGAAAAAAATTTAAAGGGCAAACATGAAAAGAAGAAATATATGGTCACATTATTTAATTCACAGGCTAATGAAAACCTCATTAGCTCGACCATAATTGCTGAAGGTAATCATTTTCAACTTGTATAGCTCTACCTTGGCTTGATGCTTGGTATTACTCCACTGACAAGGTCACTACCTGACACATCTCCTGATACAAAAGGAGTTTTCATAGTAGAAGCCGAGGACGAAGATGGTGTACTGTGCCTGTCTGTTTTGCCAGAATCACTGGATATAAATTCGGCTCTTTTGGTATCTGATTCTGGCATTGTAGACCATATGTTTTCAAGCTCTCTAACCACTTCTGCCATTCTAGGCCGCGCCTCTGGCTCATCATCACAACACTTCAAGGCCAATGTCAAAAATTTCTCCACATGCTCAGATGGATAAGATCCCATACGTCCATCGATAATTGAAAATATTACACCTGATTGGTACGCAAGATTAACCTGAAAAGGATTCAGAAAAGTGAGTGTTAAGCACTATTTTTGGGTGAACTCAGGGTCCCAAGCCGAAAGCTAGAGATGATCTCACGAAGCACTGAGATTAACATAAAAGACAGAAAGATTTAGAAAAGTGATTCAACCTATGATGTTCTCAAATACCTAGTTACTTTTCAACGCTGTCCACAAAATCTTCGAATAATGGAATAATAGTGGGACATCACTACGGAAAAAATTATCCAGGTAAAGATTTGATAACTAAAAATAGAACCAGTGTTGACGAGGAGGCAGAAAGAATCAGAGAATTGACAACGACAACAAATGGATCTACATAACCCTGTAGAGAGGAAGGGGCTCTCTATGTCTTTCTATTGAGGTGACATGATTCAATTACAAACAACACTCGAGCTATGAGGGCAAAATATAATGAGACAGCAGAAAAGTTTTTGGACAACAGATGGACAAAACTTGTATAAATTGAACAATTCAGCTTTTATCACATTTTGATCCAATCAATAGGGAAAAGGGATATAAAACAAGTCCTGCAATAAGCAAATACCTCTCTAACAATATTTTTTCCGTGTGAGATAGGATGCATCCCAGTCAAAAGTTCCAGAAATACAACACCAAGACTATAAACATCACTCTTGTCAGTCAACTTGTGAGTTAAGAAGTACTCTGGATCAAGGTAACCCTGCACATACAAAACAGTGAAAAAATTAGATAAAAACTTATTAAATAAATAAGATCAACCTTTCAAAACCTATGCTAAGATACTATTTCTTTATTGAAGCTAAATTGGACCAAGACAACTGCACGAATGAACCATGACATAACCTGAAGGGTTAACCCATGTTGTTCAAGTGATCATCCTTGTAAGTTATATACCATTGTTTGATCTCCAATCAATGTACAACTAGGTGCTATCACAACAAGCTCTGATAACTTTCAAGTTTCAACACTTGTTTTTTCTCAAAGAAACACTCCTAACATTGACCATAATTAGGTCAAGTTTTCCCAAAACCCGTATCCTTGACGTAGGTTTAGAGACAATTTATAGGTAACAAGTTTTAGAATGTTGAAGTTAAGAGCCGTTCTATGTTAGGGGCATAATTAGAGAGCAGGCTTACATTAGTACTACTATACTAGTGCCCAAGCTAGATTAGTAATGCAACAAAATGATTTCTAATCTTGTATTTAATATTACAATAGCACTATTTACCAAAACCAAATCCAATCATGAAAGCCTTACCGGGGTCCCCTTTACCACGGTAGATACATGACCAGGCACAACCCCTTCCATATCAGGAACTGGGGCAAGACGTGAAAGTCCAAAATCAGCCACTTTCGCTGAAAACTTAGAGTCCAACAATATGTTGCTGGCCTTTACATCTCGGTGAAATATTGGAGGATCAGCTTCTGTGTGTAGATACGTAAGACCTTTAGCTGCCCCTAGTGCGATCTTCAATCTCATGGCAAAAGTCAGAGGTTCTTTAACTGTCACTGTAAACAATAAGCATACTCTTAAGAGAGACAACATAGAAGGCACTTAGGCACACAATTTACGTAAAACAAATTATCTATGTTGTTGAGCTTAGAGACAAGGAAAATCTATACAGCATCTTGGCTACTCATTCAACAGAAAAATGCAACAAAACCAGAAAAACAATTAATAATTTCAGAAGATTAGAAAATAAGAGAATAATGAATACCTGAAAGGTGATCCCTCAACGTACCATTAGACATAAATTCATAGACGAGCATCTGCAAGCATGAGCAACAAGCCAATCGAAAGAATTCAATAGTCAGAGAAATAAAGAATGAAAGGGAGTTTATAACGCCAAAATTTCCTTAAAGAACAAGAAGAAAAAAACAAGGACTAGGATGACACATCCTCCCTAAGTTAAAAGCTAAAGAGAGTTTACATCATATGTGAATATCAAATAAACCCTTGCTTCACAACTGAATCTACAAAATTCAGATTTCCAGAACAGCTGGATGTGTGTTACGATCTGCATACAACTTCTTTTATTTAAAGTCATTCTACCCAAGCTATTAGTATGTGCTTATTTCCTAACTTTTGTACAAATAATATCCTCCCGGTGTTAAAAGATGGTAGAAATCCAAGGGATTATTGGATATTAAAACTTCCACAAAGGACGTCAAGTTAATCATTACGATTAATAAAATAAAAAAATGTGTTAAATTTTATGAATTTGGATACAAGAATTACCTGTTCACCTTCTTCATCACAATATCCAATCAGAGAAACAAGGTTGCGATGATGTAACCTTGACAGTAATGATATTTCTGTAAGGAACTCCTTCTCACCTTGCAGAGATCCCTCTTGTGCACGTTTTATGGCAACAACTGTGCCATCAGAAAGAATGCCTTTATAAACCTTCCCATAGCCCCCTTGTCCAACTTGAGCAGAAATGCTGAAATTGTTTGTGGCGGAGGACAATTCTACATAAGTAAAGGCCCTTACGCCATCAATTTTTATAGAGATCTTAGATGCTGCAAAAAAACGTAAGTCTATGTTAATAGACTTTATTAATAAATCCATTCATTATAACCAATCAGATATGGTTTGTACCAGTAAATACATAGTACCACGTGACTTTTTAAATTCCATACATACCAAGTTCAAACTGAAAGAAAAATGATATAATTATAAAAATAGTAAATTTTACACCTAGTGTAAACTATATCTATAGAGCTTATAGATCGATATCTGAACTGCTGTTATATTATATATATATATATATATATATATATATATATATATATATCTTCTTTTTATTTTATCTTTAAAAACAAGTGTAGACAATGTTGTCGTATTAGCACCTCCTTGGTCATAAATATCCAATTTATGAGCTAGGCTGATGTTTACAAGTCACGGTCAGAAGAGATAAAAATGGATTTGAGCAACCTGTAACTTCCTGTATGTATCGCAAATTTTCCAAATGAGCTGCTCAAATGCATAAGCATCTTTAATGTTACAAGAGTTAACAAGCTATATCAAAGAGACTTCTAGCATGATGGTCTTGAGCTAAACTTCTTGATTCTCCAAATGATTTTTAAACCTTGATTAGAGACAACGCAAAAATTCATACCCATTGATAATTTAATGACAGAAGCCTCATCTTTTTAATGTCTTGTATCTTGTCCATGCACCCCCTGGCCCCCTAAAAAAGGTGTCTATTTTCCCATATACTGGTTACGGGCTAGAGCTATCTTTGGTGTTCTATTCATAGCTGTTCACAAGCGCATTGCTATTTCTCAATTCTGATTTGCAAAGACTATGAGCTTTGCTGCGTTCAACTTTTCCATGTTCCTTGTTGTAAATAGGATTCAGTTAATGATATAATCAAATTTCTTTATTATGACATGTCAACAGAAACCATCCCGAAGGAAAATATGAAAACAAGACTGTTTGAGATGACATTAAAAGAAGCTAGCTTTCAAATATGGTTCAGACAAAAAAACAAATCAAAACCTCTCATTGTGAAGAGGCAGATCACTGAAGACAAGTTAAAGAGAAAAATACCAATAGTTGCTAATTCATGATACAGAACTCACCATGACGTCGCTTGGAAACAGTATGATAATCTCTCAATTTTATTCTCAATATAAGAATGGTAACAATTGCAGATAATGTCACTGCACAGGCTATTGCCCCTATGATTATGCCAACCAGTGCACCCGTACTTATCCCTGATTTTGAACTCTTGCCAATTTCTGCAACAATAATGAGCAGTGTGAAGACAGTCCTGTGACAGTTATCAAATATGATATTCAATATTTCGAAGTATGGCACAAATTTGTCCAAACAATATTGGAGAAAGTGGACATAATCTGCGTGATACAAGATCCTCTCCTTTTGATTCCTAATAGTTCAATGCATAAAATAGAAAGGCCATGTGGAAGCTGTCAGGAGTACCCAAAAGTGACGACATTAGGGTTTTGGTGGTAAATGTTACTTTATCTTCATATATGGTTTGTAAGCTACTAATGGATATTAGGATTTTGGCTTCAAGACTAACAGAGATATGAAGGGGGTATTAGAGATATGATTTTATTGCAGGGAAATATTAGGTATTGATTTTGTTTCTTATTATTGTGACTCTTTTTCCTAATAACTAAGAGTACCCCCGTGCATAGATCATCCAATTATAAACAATCTTCTCTATATGTGGCTTATATACCTTTTAAACAACTTCACTTAATGTCAATTGGTTTAAAGATGAAATCTAACAGTAAACTCAAGTTGTGAGAAAGATTAGATGGGATTGTGACCGTGTTTCTTGGAGGCTCTGTCAAGGTGTTGGATGTGTGTGCGGAAGCACCAATCATCATCATCTTCTCCATGGATAAAAGAGTTTAGAGCTGAAGCTCTAATACCATCTATGTGTTATAGAAAAATATTTTTTTCTCCATATATTTATCAGAATAAGGTATAACCAGTATTTATGCAGATCAAATCTGCTACAAATAAAGAAAGGTAAATATCCCAATCAGGAAACATATCTCCTAGTAATAAGGAAAATCATCTCTCATAAACAGGAAACAAATCTCCCATAAAAAGGAAAAAAAGGAGACAAAATAAAGGTAGAAAACTTGCTAAAAAATATCTAGTCTGATTTGGTTCAGATTTATTCCCCTTAATCTTGATCCTATCAACAATATGGACAAATTCATCTACCAGATTCCACAAAACTTTTAAACTTTCGTCATGTGTTTCATCTTTTGTTTTGTCATATCACATGATGTTTATAAAATCAAATATGAAACAAGTATTTCTGTACTCTCTAGTCCTTTTTTTTCTCAGAAAATCAAACACGCCCATATAACAACAAAATTAATAGAGACTAAAAGGGGTTTAGTTCATCTGCAATGTCTATTTCTTTATTCTATCTAATCTTGTATTCCATTGAATCAGAACAAGAGATAGAGATTTTTCTGTTGACATTTTTTTTTTCTTTATAATATTCTGACCCATGTTCATCCAGTTAAACACAACTATACAGTTAAAAGTATGCATTAATCTTTCTAATAGATCCTAAGAAGTTTCCAAGACTTACCATCCTTGTAAGGACCCAAAAGATTGAAGCCAAGCAGTTCATAAGGCCCAAACAGATCACTGTCCGGAATTAGCCATCCTGTAAACTTGCTTGTGATCCGTAGGAGCTCACTTGTATTGAAAGTATGATTGCTAGTGCTATTAACAAATAGAGGAAAAAACTTCAAGTCCATTCTTAATCGAGGTCCTACTTGCCAATAAAAATCATATTCTAGCTGATCAGTAGATATTTCAAGACCAGTAGTCATGTAGTTCTCAAATTCTTTTAAAAATGGAGTAAAGTCTGAAAACCCAGGACTTTTCAGCCGATAGGCAACAAGCAATGGAAGGGCACAGAAACAATTCTCAGAGTACTCGTAAGGAGGCGGGCATGCTTGAGGAGGACAGAAACTGGAGTTTGTAGTAAATGAGCCATTTGTTACAGTAGCACCTTCAGATCCACAGAACTGAACCAGGGATATGTTTGAGCAAAGGGGATTCCCATCAAGCCTGAAATACATTTTTTTCAAATAATAACATGTGAAGCTATTTAAAATGATGGGATATATGGTAAATCTAATGTTATATTCTTGATCTTCAGAATAGTGACAGTAATCTTTTGAACATGCATAACAAAGAGAAAAAATATGAGAATCTCCAGTCTCCACTACAATGATTTAAGAACAAACTGACAATAATAGCTAACAAGTTTAGAACCATACCCAACTGTGACATTTGAAGGAAGATCAGTACTGCCTGATATGGTCGTAAGATTATTATTTTGCAACTCCCTGCGTGATCAGAAATCAATGCTCAGCAAACCAGAATGTACAGAGTAGCTTCTATGCAAAAGGAAATAAAGATGAATAAATGATATTAGCATAGTATAATTCCCAAAATTGAGAAATTTATCACTTCAGATCTTACAAGAAAAAGTTGTCTGTTCCATTTGAAGTTTTATTCAGCCAAATGGAGGAAGAAACACTGCCATTCAATGAATTGTTTGCAAGTGACCTGCCCGATAGAATGATATTAGAAGAAACAAGAAATTGATAACATGATTGATTAAATAAGAAATCTAAAAACTTAATAACACAATATTAAACATCTCTTTATTAATTCGATATATGATCTGTAAGTGAGATAAGGTGGGAGATAGTAGTAATTCTTATTTGGCTTATAGTATGTACTATGTAATATATCTTGATGTAGAAGAAAAGAGGACAAGACAGAAAATAACTTACAATTTCTGAAGATTTGCAAGATCAGCAAAGTAGGATGGAATATTTCCAGTAAGGCGGTTGTTTGATAAATCACTGCATGTATAGCAAAAGGTCAAAACATAATATTATATAAATTTGCTTCGACCAAAAAACATATGAGGAAAATATTGACAAAATGACATGCAATCCAAATAATGAAATGTAAAATCAAACAACGACAGATGAAATGATAGAGACTCACATGGTTGTGATATTTTCAGAAAGCTTATTGGGAGGAATCGATTCATTCAACTGGTTGAAGCTGAGGTCACTGGAAATTAACAAATAATAGTCAGTAAACACATTTACAAACTGCACTAGAAGTTTTCTTTTCCAGACATGTACACAGAATCTTCATTTATTTTTTTTTTCAGGAAAAGTTACTTCTCTTATTACAGATAAGATAACTGAACTTACAGATAAAGAAGATTAGGTATCCTGCTTAAATCAGGAATTGGTCCTCGCAAGCTGCAATTCCTAAGGCTCCTAATAATATCAAGAAACCATTAACAACATTTAGACAGTCAATATTGACATTAAACCCTTCTCCTAGGCCAAATTAAGTTTTCTTCTGTGGTGAGAAATTTATTTAGCAGAGTGATTGGGTATTTTCCTCCAATAGTGTTCCAGAACCAATTCAAACCATTCCAAATCGCCAAACCAATCTAAAGAACCAAATATCAAATAAACCCTTAACAGAAAAACTGATTATATTTCAGTTTAGTTTGCTTTTGGTTCTCATATTCAGAACCGACCCACAGCCCACAGACATACTAAATTTATTAGTTTTCATATTTTAATCTCAAATAAATATGAAATTATTTTGACTTATGATTTGCAATTTAGACTAAGTTGGGATTTATGATGAGATAATATACTTTGAGCAAATTTTTCTAGGAATTTTATTGTGTTTCAGTCAAAAGAAAGGAATTTTATTATGTATTTGACTTTTTATATAACAAGTGTTGTCCATAAAGGAAAACATAGCCACCAGAGAAATTCATGCATTGGTTTGGGGCTCTGCTCTTACTATATTCAATGAAATTTCATTTGGTCAACAACCGGAAATAGTCTCTTCAATTTAAAAAATAAAAATAAAAAATAGAGACAAAAACCAAAAATCTAAAAATCCAAAGAATGAAGATTGGATGGGTAATACATTTTATTCTAAAAATGATCCAAACTAAAGCAAAAGATTTTACTTTTGTAAACTACAAAAATCCTTCCAATTAAAGACAAAAAAAATGGAACAAAGAAAAAACTTTCCAAAACAATGACGACATCAGACATAATAGCATTAGTAACAGACCATCATTGCTAATGGATATTATACATTTATACAATACTCATCTGAGGAAAAGATCGTTAGATTGAGTCATAATACTCTATGTTCATGACAATAAATGATGTTCTACCGAGGATTCAAATGTATACACATGATTTCCACAAGCATTTTTTATAGAACATTTTTTGCCCTGTGCTTATATATCCTATCCGACATTTCTCACTTTTGTATGATTGTCACTCCTACTATAAAAAATCAATCATGAAGTCTCTCAAAATGGTACTTTACCACTGACATTTAAAATAAAGGCTTGGGGACCTCAGCTCCACTCCTTGCATTTGCAAAACCCACTAAAGGACAAGGAATTACAGAATTCACTTACATCTTCAACAACTTTGACATGTTGGCATATGTATCAGGAATACTACTTCCTCCAAAGTTATTGTTATCAAGTTGACTGCAAAAACAGTAAGATAAAGAAACACTTTAAAAATCTAATTATTACACGAAACATTTAGTAAAACAGACAACAATTGAAAAGGAGGAAACATCAGAAAACGATTAAAAAGTTCTACAGTGGCAAATGTAGCAAATGTCAAACATTGGTGTATCAAAATCTATGATAGATGGCATAGCTGGCAAAGCACCCGGCCCTGTTTTCCACCACTTGCCTAACAATTTCACTTCTTACAACCAAAGATTGATCAGGAACTAAACCATCAAATGACATGGAAAGAAAATGGCATTGCTCTATTGGTACAAGGCGTTCATATCAAGATCTTTTTGCTTGTGTTTTCAGAAAAACTCTCCATTCTTCCTTTGTAAAGACTAAATAGGACTTTTTTATTCCTCCTATTCCTTGCTTAACTGACTTTGACCAAAATCAATGCATACACTTTCTGATTTTCTCTGAAATCTAATAAGATACCTCTTGAAACTACTTCTATGTGTTTTATCATCCAAAATAGAAAAGAAATAAAATTATAAATGTTTAAATACATATTACTTAAAGAATAAGAAACCTACATGATAAGTAAGCTTGGCATCTTGTACAGCTCAGGGGGGAGGTTTCCAGATAAATTGTTATTGTCGAGAAGACTGCATAGCCAGAGATGCATCTTTTGAACAAGATGTAGGCAAGATAATTAAGAATTATAAAAGCACATGAAAAAATGTTAGTAGCTGCAGTTTTATCGATGATATCCAATTAACAACTCACAGGTGAACAAGCTTTGGCAATCGGGAAAGATCTGGTGGGATTGGCCCGCTGAGTGAGTTGTTATTCATGTGACTGCTCCATTGGGGGAGGGAGATTAAACATTATTTTCTTTCCATTTTTTTGGTCATAATAACAAATGTTGATAAACAAAAGAGTTAATGTAAAAATAGAAAGAGTGGTCATTCTTAGACTACATTTTCATTGTCAAAAACCTTACAAATGCTTTGTCATGTTCAGATTTGCAAATGACGTAGGTATAGGTCCTGATATATGGTTCTGATCGATTTGTATTCTATCCAGGTTTGGAAGATAGCCAATCTCCTCTGGTAGTTGACCAGATAAATTATTTCCATTCAGGAGCCTGCAAAAAACAAACTTAATGAGAAACAATGCAGAAATGATGCAATTCTTGTTAAAGCACTACTCCTTTATTTATAAAATCATTTAAATTTATCTTTTTAGCATAGTAGAAACAGTATTTAAATTCAATTTGTTTATATCAACTCTGAATTCAAGCAATGACAAGGTGTTTAGGCATTAATATATCTAAAATGGGTCAGAAATATACCAATGTTATAAAAGAACTGCCTTGTTCAATCATTTGGTGACTAACATACATGACTAAAAGGGGCTCAACTTACAAGAGTTCCAAAGATGTGATATTGCCAACTTCCTTCGGAATACTGCCACTTATGTTATTCCACATAAAGTTCCTTTAGAATACAAAGAAAAACATGTATCAGAGGAACTAAAAGCTACAGAAGGGTAAAACACTCACATGAGGGAAATCCACTACACAAGCGAGAAAAAGGCATCTAGCAAATGCTGAACTGAAAGTTGTTCAGAATATTTGTAATTTCAAACATCAAAGCAAGTACTGTCTTACAATCTTTTCATGTATGGTAATTTGCCAAGTTCTGGTGCCAAAGTTCCAGACAAGTTCAAATTCAGTAATTGCCTACAGATAAGAAAAAACAAACTTAGAGTAGAAGTGAAAAGAAAGCTCTCAATTCTCACACAGATATTGATAGATTTGCGCTAAGTAATATTGAATTATTGATGTCAGAAATAAAAGGCAATTGATGAACAAGATTGATCAAGATACGCTGAAAAGATCATCGTAAGAAGTGTTCACTTGTGGCCCACAGCTTTCGTCCTGTTTAGGTGGATTATACTGATTTCTAGTATATAGTATAATAAACTATAGAGTAGGACGGTGTTTGACCCACAATAATGACTGAATCTATTTGTCATTGCAACATAAGGAGAATGAGAAAGATTAACAAATGGAGGAAAGCTAGCAACACTCTAACACTCTTTACTATTGGCTAAAATTTATTGAAAATCACAAATTTCAGTGGATCCCACATCTAAATCAAGAGACTCATTATATGAGAAGTTGAGCCACCAAAATTTGCTATTTCCAATAAATTTTAGACAATTATGGAGTCCTAGAGAATGTCGCAAGCATTTTTCTAATAAAAGAAGTACGAAGGAAATAGAATCTTGAAAATGTTAATATCAGTTATGAAACGGAAACGTAAGATAGAACTCATACAATTCTTCAACATGAAGATAGCCATCCTCTTTGGTTCCATTGTAGCACAAAACTCCTTTCCACCTTGATGTACATGGGTCTCCATGATTCCAATTGCTCAAATTTCCATTAGGATCAATCAAACTATTCTTAATGGCTCTCAATGCTTCAACTGCACATTAATTCAAATGTGAACATCATATCATCAATAGAACCAACAAATACAGTACACATTATAAGCAGCACTTGACAGCTAGTATCCAGCTTTTTCTTGTATTGAAATTATGGATTCTTTGTTCTTGTTTGTCAAATTTAAAAGAAAAATCTGGGTATTATTGTTGCAAGGGACACGTGCATATCATATTTTTAGATTTGATAGCACTCTTGTTTGTGATCCTTCAGATGATAGTTATACATAGGAACAAACTATCAAAATGCTGGAAACTTTTATCACTATAAGCGATGACATATTACAGAAATCACTCCACAAGATAAGGGCTACCATTTCCACAAACACTAGTATACCATCTAAGAGAAGCTATCATGAACCAAGTATCTCAATAGCTTAAGTTGTTGGGTGAAAGACACATAAGTTGCTTTTAATAGTACATCCCTAGCACGTCCCCTCACTCAAGGGTCCTTTAAGATTAAACAATGGTTTATAATGCAGCTACCAGTGCTTAAATTCAACTTTTAATTCGATAGAGGAATAGAGAAGACAAGAATCAGACTCAACTAAATAATTTAATTATAGAGACTCTTATATCATGTCATGAACCAACTAGCCAAAAACATAAGTACATGCCTAATAGAAGCAAAGCAATCAGGGAATACCAAAAGGAAAACAAGGAAAACATACCTTCGACAGAATTTGTGATGTTATTCTGCCCAGCGGCATGTAGCATATAGCAGCAAAACCACAGGATGACAACAACTTCAAGCCTGAAACTCTTTGAAAGATACATCCCAAGTATGAACACTAGAACTCTCAAATATCTCTCATGAACAAAGCAGTGTACTTTTCCGTCCCTGATAACAACAAACCAAGTTGTGAAAGAGAGGAATCTCTACTTTTCATTGATAGTCAATTAGCCCCTAACAGATTCATACAACTGTGCTTCACCTAAAAAGGCAATCAGTAAATACTTGTGCAGATATAATCAGCTGAAATCTTACTGATAATATGGACTAGTATAGACTGATACATTAATACCACAATTATCTCAGTCCAGGTAAGAAACATCAATTTATACGAAAAAAAAAATGGATGCATACAAGTTCCAAATCACAGCAGCTATTAAACTAAAGCAGAAACCCAATTCCGAAACAACCCTTTGAAACTAAAGGAGAACACCTGAGACAAGAGAAGCAAAAGTGAAGCCAAAATGAAAAAGACTCAAACTTAGAAACAAATATAAAAAACAACGCAGAAAGTAACAGATGGGTATTGCGACAGGTTAAGTACCAAGAAGATGAAAGTGAAAGGGCGTCACAGTGGGCAATGGTTCGTGGGCATGGTCTTGTCTGTGAGACCAGGTTGCCACGGCAAGAACTGCAGCAGAAAATGTGGGGGTTGATGATGTGGGAAAGCCATGTTTTTCACAACTGTGGGTTTGAACCAAATGCATTAAAAAAATGGTGAAAGAGAAAACAAAAAAAGAAGCTCTGAAATGGGAGGGTGGGCGGATTTGACTTTTGGGATACATGAACGAGACATTAACTACACCCAAAATCAACATGAAAAGAGACAACCTCCAACCACCACCCACTGAGAAAATTATCATTGTTGTGTAAAATATTAACATAATTAATTTAGCGCCAAATAATATATTGATAAAACATAAAATTAAAATAAAAAAAAATTAAAGTGTAACATGATAACAAACTAATTATTAAATGTAAAATATTTTCTAACTATTACGTCCTCTAGAATTAGGTTGTAGCAGCAACTTTTTAACAAAGTTGTTTTACCAAATACTCTATGAAATTGTTATTACTGCAAAGTGTTATTTATTATATATATGGTCATTTGAATTTGTTTGAAATAGTATTTCTTTTTTAATTCTTAAAAAAATAACGAAAATTACAGATAAATTTTGTCATTAATATCTACAATAATATATATATAACCCCATGTCTATCTTATCAGTTATCTTATATGATTTTTTAAACAATTTCCTCCCTTAATTACGTATTCAATTAAATAAATTTTTTTCATTTTCTTTCTTTTAATTCATGTGATTAATGTTCAAACTCTTAAATTTATGTTAAATAAATCATCAACTTAGTCGGTTTGAAATTGTAACAGAGTTAAACTAATATTTGAAATTAACAAAATAATCTTTAAAATTATAAGTCATCAATAAAATTTTATCATGAAATTATAAAGATTTTTCAAATTAGTTTGAAAATAAACATATAATAAAAAAATCTGAAATTGAAAATCATCAATTAACTTAATCAAATGATATCATCTAAGATTGATAACAAGAATAAATTACATCTGTGTAAATACCTTATTGACAATAATTAAGAACAGATAACTATTATCACATCACATAATACTCAAAACCCTGATACAATAATTTTCAATATTTCCCTTTCCTATGTCTTTATTTTTCTCCTCTAAAAAAATGTGTATGTTCTGTCCATTAATTTTGTACTAGTTTTTTTATTTGTCGGTTTATAATTATGCATGTTTCACCCAACTTAAGTCTAAAGATTAATGAGATATCGTTTTGGCAATGGGTAAAGTACAAGATTAATACAAAACAAATAACAAAGTAAGAAGTAAAAATTTAATTTTTATTCCACTAATGTTTTAGCTATATTTGTTTTCATAATTTGTGACTCATATGTGTGTCTCAAGCACTTAATGTTGTCAATTGTATCTTTATAATAAAATTAGTGAATATCCTTTTTTTTTTTTTAGTGAATATCAAAACCACCACTTACATTGATTAAAAGTTTACGATTTTATTATTTTTATTCAAGAGACTAATTTAATTAACTATTTTAATTTTAAAAACTAAATGAATTAATAATGTAATATTATAAACTTTTAACTATTTTTATAGTTTTGAGGATCAATTTATCTTCAGTTTCTTAAATAAATTGGCCATTCACTCCCATGTTAATTACATTGAAGAACTCTATATAATACTTACTTATATGAATCTCAATTATACAATAAGTTATTTAGGATCTTTAAGGTTATAATCTTGTAGAAAATTTAAGAATTTAGTAATAAGGTGGAAGAAAAAAATTACTATTTTTAAGAGAGACAACTCATAAAGGATGTGAAATTTCTTTGATACAGTCAAGTGTTTTTGAATCACCCAAGAATGAATTTAGGAGAATCACTCTCACTAAGATAAATTCTAATATTTCTGAATAAAATTTCACTTGTAAATTCTGATAAAAATAGTTCAACTTATAAAGAAGTTTTGTCATCAGAGTTATAAAGATTTACTAAAGGAAAATAAATGTTAATAATGATTCATTAACCTAGGAATTGAAAACTACTTAATGGCTGATTGTAACTCGAAATTGTAATTAAAAACATAATTTGGTCAATCAATTTCACAAAGAATTGGGTCATTATTTAAATAAACTTAAACAAAGTGATGCATTAGTTCTTCTCCGTTTGGGTTATGATGTAATTCACAACTTTGGTCTTTTCTCCTTGAAATGTGAGTTGGATTTATATTCAAATAATATGGACAATACTTGTTGAATAACTTTCTTTATTTATCTTATTATAGTATCTCGTCATAGGTCATGTCATCATCTATAAACTTAAGAGCATGCAATTTATATTTGAATTTTTATTCTTTATAAAGAATAATTTTATTAATCAACCTAATCGATGAAATATTAACAATTTTTTTTATATATTTTATCTTCATTGCAATATACATGGATAACACATGAAATATTGACTAATTGTTACTGTTGATATAACAACTTTTTGTCGTAACCAACAGGAAAGAAAAAAGCAAGTAAATATGCAGATTTTCAATATAGTAAAGTTGAAAATTGAAATGACGAATTAACTCCATTACTGCTATTAAAAATGTATATAAATACATTTTAATGTCATGCATTATTTTATTTTTGTTAAATAAATCCTTTATAGATTCCTCGTTGAAAGTGTTCATATTGTTTCACACTTTCGATTATGACCTAATAGTTGGAAATAGGTGGATTACTTAGTCTAAGAGGCAAAAAAGTCAAACAGATTAACCAATAGTAGGAGATTACGCAAATCTAAAATTAATCTACTACGTGTGTTGAAAGAAACCATAAATAATTACTATACAAAGTTACACACGATTTAATTATTAAAATCAATTAAATTAGGTTAGTCTCTCTTTTCTAATGTTATTTTTGGAATATTTCCACTTTTGTCAAACATGTGCAATTGCAGAAAGAGAAAGTATACCAAATGCCACTAATACTATAGCCATAACCAATCGTGAGAAGTTTCAATGCATTTTGGTTAATTTTTTGTTTTTTAATATATGGCTAAAGTTTAGATAATCCCACTAATTCTAAAGGCATGTAACTTGTTTTTGGAAACTTGTTTTCTTGATCTTGGATTGTGTATTTGGGGTTGTTGTCTTGCTTATTTAAACGGATTGCTTATGAAGAAATTAAGTAAAAGAATACTAATGAGTCTATGTTTTGTCTCAAGTTGTTGGGTAACCTTTCAAATGTTTGATTCATAGCTTAATTTAAACTAGTTTATTTTCAAACCCTAATTCACATGCCCACAAAGATGAAAAAAATAATATTTTATATGGCATTCAAAAGATATATATCATTTTATTAGGGTGATTCAATGGGTTTCACTCATCACCTATTTTACTCTAAACTTTAGTGACTTGATTTTAGGATATACCATCATATTAGTTTACATAATAGTATGTTGAGTTTGTCTATTAAAGATGGGTTGATATTTAATAGTTCTTATAAGGACTTTTTTTCTTTTGAATATGAAGTTGTCGATTTTATTGAATAATTCATATGAAAATTGAATGAAACTTGTTCATGTATTAATATGATGTGACAATTAACTTAATATTGACACGATTATTAATGTAACGTGAATGCGAAATGATGGTGTAAAGATTGATACGATATTGAAGCAATTATATACATAGAAATTAACAGTTTACTATCACGACGCCCAGGTGAAAACCAACATGATAATTTGAGATAAAATGAAAAAGTATATAATAATAATAATAATAATAATAATAATAATAATAATAATAATAATAATAATAATAATAATAATAATAATAATAATAATAATAGTTAACAAAGTAACTGGTAAAAATCAAACTCCCTCCCTCGATCACTACTAAATTTTTATTAATTTATTTATTAGTTTTTGTATGTGACTTTAATGTATATTAGCACATCAACTTTATATACGTGTTACTTCAAAGTTTATTGAATTTTATCATAATTATATTAAAAATATATCAACAATAATTTATGATTTGTAAATTTGATTTATATTATTAATACATAATTTTTTTTACTAATACATAATCATTAAACTATAATTCTATATATAAACAAAAGTATCTCCAATGCTGATTTTTGTTTAAAGATTTTATTACATTTTAAATAGAATTGTATGTTACGTCACTTTTAAGTCACTTTTAATCAAATTTTACAAGTTTTTTTGAAGATATTGCTTAAATAAATTAATTAAGAGAAAATGTAGTTTAATTGAAGTAAAAATTTGAAGTTTTTTGATTTAATTAAAAAGATTATAAATAGAAAAAAAATTATTCAAACTTTATTTTCATAAAATTATATTTTTTTTATAATTCTTTTTAATCTCTAAATTTTTTATATTCTCTTATATTTTTTTAAATTTAAACATATCTAACTCCTCCTAAAATAAATAAAATTATTTTTATCTTATCAATATTTTAAATAGAGTAAATTTTCTATTATCTTATTATAAAATATTTTCGCATATCAATGTTTAGATTTTGTTAGACAAAATAAATTTTGATTAATTTGGTATGTTTAATTATTAATTAAATATTCTTTTAGCAAAATGTGACTTCATCAGAATTTTAAAATTTGGGATTTTTAAGTTTTAAGATACTTTAATTAAGATAAGAAAGGTATTTTTATCATTAGAAGATTAAAATGTGATGATGTGACTTAGTCATAAGATTGTTTATGGGACTTAAATTTCAATATGTTCAAATTTAAATAAAATAAGTTATAAAAATATATCTTATACACACAAGACTATATATACCATTGTGAGTACTTTACTTAAAAAGTTGAGAGGTGATAGATACATGTTTTTTAATCTAATTCAATATTTAATTTTTTAAAAGTCGTTAAGTGTTAGTGTGATATTATATTGGATTTGTATGAAGGTGATGAATACTGTAAATATGTTTTTATGAATCATTTAAATTATATGTAATTTTGAATTATTAACTTATCTCCTATGTAAAAATTGTGTTGCTTTAAATTGTGATTATCACATGTTTATACACATACAAATAAAATAAAGGATAGGTCTCACAAAAAATAAGTTAGGAATCAAAATATAATTTATAATTAATTTTATTTATTAAGATATAATACATGTATGTGTAAAATTTTTTATGTAAAAGGAAAAAAATTATATTTTGAATTATTATATAAATTTTAATTACATATTTATGCTATATATATATATATATATATATATATATATATATATTATTTAACTTTAATGTGTAGTTCTTGTAAACACTCATATCTTTTTAACTTTTTTATTTATATTTCACCTTGACAACTTAAAATAATTTAATTGTTATAATTAAATATTAATTTAATATAATATTTTTATTTGAAATAGTAGTAAATTTATATAAGATTTACAAATTTTATAAAATTATTTAAAAAGAACTATAAAATCAAAATTAGAATTAAACTAATTTTAAAAAAATAAAAATATTTTAATAAGTATTACATATGTTATTATTTTGTAAATAAAATAAAAATATAAATGTTTCTATAATGATTATTAATATGATTTGAAATTTTCATTATAGAGATAATTAAAAAAATTTAACAAAAAAAATTATAAGATATTTCTCAACATTATTGTTTATTGTTAAAATTTTAAAAACTCTTACTATTATGTAAATTAACTCTAATACAATCATTTATAAAATACATAACTTTTTTTAAACAACGGATACAATTACAAACATCACATATCATTAATTATATACATATGCGTATATGGTGTTATATAATCTGAGCTAAATATAATAATATAATATAATATATAGAATTTGTGATTAAACATAATTGAAACTATTAAAGTTATTTTTGTTATAAAATAAAAATACTGGTCCAACATTTTTTATTTTATTACAGGCTACATTATATAGTTGCTATTTAATATATCCATTTGTTTTTAATAGACTTTGTGTAAAAGTTAGATGCTGAAATTAATATTATGAATACATTATTACTCAATAACTCATTGTCCTGGTGGTTGTTATAATTATTATTTTTTCTCTTGACTTGCTATTGATATATTGTGAAATGATTTGTTCCCACACATTTTTTTATACTAATTTATTATCTACATCAAGAGTCAACACACAAAGTCTCCTAGCCATGGTATGATACTCTAAGTCAAGTTGAAATATTAAATTAAGAAACCAATATATATTTCACATTTTTTTAAATGATTATTATAGTAATAATTAAAATGTCAATAATATATCAATACGATTGTTGCATAAGATTGAAAAAAAAAACATTTATGAGAAAAATATGTTTAATTTGCTGCATAAACTTTTTAACTTACTAGAGAACAATTAAGATACATACTTGTACACAAGCTAACTTTAATAACTATGACATCATTCTGTTTTCTTTTTAATATAACAAATAGTAAATTTATGTATTTTTAAATAGATGTAAATTCAGTGTAAATAATAATGAAAATTTGATTTCAATTTTTTTGTTTGTGAATACAAATTTTGTAGTAATTATTGTTAATGGCTACTTAATGTAAGTGCTGTCAACAAATTCTAAATCAGTAAAACTAAAAAATATTGGTACTATAAAATCATATTGGTTTAAGTAAAGTCGTTTTATGATAAAAATTGAACAAGATAATATGAAATATTTTATTAATTTTGTAACAGGTTTATTTTGGTTTTGTATTAAAAATTCATATAAACAAAACATAATTTAAAAAATAAATAAATTAATATTTTATGGTTTGATTTTGATGATATTTTATAATAATTTTATTAAATATATTATAATAAAATAACTATTTAATAAATAAATATATTATAAATTTTATATATAATTAATTATGATATTCATAATTTAATTTATTTTTATATATTTCATATTTAATTTTAAAATAATAATATATCATAAATTATTAAAATTCTTAATAATATATATTATAATTTTTGTTTGAATCGAATTGAATTTATTTGTCATCGTCAAATAAAAAAATTAAACTAAATTGATCGATTTTAAAATTTTATAATAAAAAAATTAATTTGATTAATTTGTTATTTGTTTATCGAATTTCTTTTTATTTCTAGATTAATTTGATTTTGGAAATTTTTTATCAAAATATATGAGTTTATTAAATCAGATTTGTATATTTTAATAAATTTTAATTTAAAATTTAATATTAAGAAAATGTTTTATATATTAGTCTAAAATCGATACAAATGGTATGATATTTTATGAAAAATGAAAAATGAAAATAGAAAATTATCTTTTATTTGAAATAAAAAATAAACACTAGTATGTAATGATAATAACAGTTAAAAGAAACATTTGCTTTATACAAAATGATTCAAAACATTGATAGATAGATGATCATGCTCCCAAGTCCCAACATTCCAAATGGAAAATTTGACATTGAAGAAGAGACATTACATCAAGCAGAAAAGTCAAATTTCTATCCAAATAAATGTGATGAAGGTGTAACAGATACTTCTCTTTTAGTTTGAAACAAGTTGATAAATATCCAATGTTTCAATTCACAAATATCCAACTGTTACATCAAGTTAGGTTTCCACTTTATTGATTATATCTAATTAACTTTTGCAACCTTTTTAAGTTCTGTGAATTGCAACCACCATGTCAAGTGTATGTATGAAGAAGGAAATTTTTTTTTGTATGCAATTATATATATATAAATAGTTGGTCAAAAGTTGTATAGTATATTATAATGAATAAAAATAATAATATAAAAACATGTATATGTTATTATTTAAATATTAAAATAATATAAAATGATATAAATTTTTGAATTAATTTAAAATTTATTATTTAAATATAGTATTATTTAAACATCTAATATTGTCTGTTATGTATCAATTACATATGAAAATGATAACAAATTTTTGAAATTCTCAAAATATATAATGCTATAATAGAAAAAAAAATAGATATTAGATTAAAGGATTGTCATGGGACACCTATCGATTATTATGGGTCAACTAGTTTATCTTATAAAGATATTTTTTTATATATTTTTTTTATCCTTTATAAAATTATATTATTAAATATAAGTAATTATTTTTATTGTGGTAAAAAAAGTTGAGAGAGAATAAAAAAACTAATTGTTATATTATTATAGAAAGATAAAACTGATGATATAATATAATACAACAATATGTTTTCTCTTTAGTGTTTTTTCTTATATTCTTTATCTACTCATGATGTTATTTTTATTTAATAAATAATATTATATTTTTATAAACATGGGCACTAAAACAGATATAGAAATTAATATTTTTATATAATATTAAAGATATTATGATAAAAAAATGTTTTTTATTATTATGATATTATAAAAGGAAAAAATTTATTTTAAATGAAAAATAATAATATAGATACATAAATACAACAAGTTCTATGTTTCTATTATTATTATTATTATTATTATTATTATTATTATTATTATTATTATTATTATTGTTATTATTAAGTTATATAAGCAAAGTAAATCCCACTCTATAATTTAATAGAGGTTCCCATTACTAGTAATTGCTGAGTGCAACTAAATTAAAGTGATTGTGATAATAGAATGGTATTTGACATTATTTTAAGTGAAAATATTATATTTATTTATTTATTTTAATTCAAAGTAAGTTTATTAAGCAATATGTCTTTTGAATGAGAATAACAAATGTTTATTTCCACTTGAATATATATATATATATATATATATATATATATATATATATATATATATATATATATATATATATATATATATAAGTTTTATTAAAAATTAAAGTTGTTTTATTTTATTTATATTTTTATTTAAGATGTAAAAATAGTCATAGTTCTGTTGATCTTTAACATGTCTGTAAGACTAGAGAAAGAAAAAAAAGTTATGAATTAAATTAAATTTGATATATTTTTCTTATTTATTTAAGTCATGACTTATATAAATTTATGTCGGGTAAATTTACCTATTCATTTATTTTATAGAATAATAATTATTTTTAAAATAAAAATATATATTATTTTATTAAAAAATATATATACATTATAAATTATTAATTTGACAAAATATTCATTTATCATAATAAATATTAAAATGAATTACTAATAATCATTTATTACATTTAATTATTATTTTAAATTAATAAATTATTAAAAAAATAAATATTATTAAAATTAAATAAATTTATTATCTTATAATTTATATATTAAATAAAAATAATTTTTAATTATAAAAATTAAAATTTTAATATCTAATTTTATTTTTTATTGTTATACAAATATAATTAATTAATTTTATATAAATATGTTAAATTTAAAAATAAAATTAATTAGATAAAACTTGAATTGTTAATCCATTAATCTAAAGAACTAAATTAGACTAAATTTTTTTAATCTATTTTAAAATATAAATTAGATTGAATTATTATATTTTTTATTTGACTCGTAAAATTGAGTCAGGACTAAATCGTCCTATAACTCTATTTTTAATTGATAATTATTTTTAAAATTATCATTGGATTTGATTTTTAGGGGTTGCTAACATACATAACTGATTCCATCTCTTACAAAGTAGGTATTATTACAATCCATGCTGACAGACCCAAATTTACTATGATTATTTTATATTTAACCTAAATTTATTGATAATATAATTATTTTATGTAAATTACATAACATGTAATATTATCTATCATATATATGTGTGTGTCCACATGTTAATTACACATGTATATGATTACCAATAAAAATTATAATCAGAGGGTTTCAAAACTATTGCTTCATAAAAAAATATATTATATGTTATTTGTTTCCATCACATATAATACTGACAAATAAACCTATTGATAGCCGGCTGATCCAGGAAATTCAATATTCCCCACAGGAAGATCCAATTAAAAGCTACCAATAAAAAAATAATTATATATCCAATTTTGCATGAGAAATAATTTTTAATTATTGTGTTTGAAAATTTTCTGGTTCCCTATCAGTTACAAGTCACAATTAGACCGATGGCACAGTTTGAATCTCACAACAATAAAAAAGTGCCTTTTAAATGTGTTCATTGGTTTCAAACTTGGATGCTGCCAAATACATGTAACTATCTCAAATTTCGTTCATACGATTGTGTTAATCCTTTTATTCAAATTTCCCACATTCAATATTGTGGTCCCTAGCAACCCTCGCCATTAAAATGGTTATCTGTCATAATGTTTTTAATTAGAAACTATTTTATTTTGAAGTTTGAAATTCCCCTTGGGTGTCATTTCTTTCATTAATATTATTATTTTATGTAAAAATATTATCTTATATAAAAAAAAATTATCCGAATAAAATAATTATGAAAAAAATTATTTTATCTTCTGTCATTTTTATATAATAAAATACATATATTTATTAACTAAACATTAAGTGAAAAATAAAAAACAATATGCTACTAACCGTTGTCTTAAACTTTGAAAAATCAAATAAATAAAAAATAAATATTTATTTATTTATTTTTGTAAGAATGGGCAACTAAATTAAATTGACTACATGTCATAGATAGAATAATAGGTTGCTTTCCCTTTCTATTCCCATCATAATGCAAGAAAAATCGGTAAGATTGTTGATGGGCTTGGCTGGTCTTATGGCCCAAAAAAGCCCAGCCGCCAATCGTCATCATAAATTGGAGAGATAATTTTACTCAAATTGAATATGATTACTAATACAGTTGTTTCTTCAATTATTTAATTAGTAACGTATCTAGACCTACATTTAACCCTACCAATTAGAATAGAACAATTCTCGGTCCATTCATGATCAATGATCCATACTTCAACTAATTAAATGCTTTTAAAATAATAGTATAAAAATAAAAGTGTCCCAATCACAAATAATTATATCATTTGCTTAAAAACTTTAATTTATTTTGATTTTATCTTAAACAAATTCTAATAGATTACAAAAATAATGTATAGGTTATTTTTAATCCCAAATTCTAAATATCAAAATAGAAAATACTATGTCCAGACATATATGTAACTTAGAGAATGCTTCCATTTAATTGAGTTTTAACAAATAAGTTAATTTGTACTATTTAAAAATTAAACTGGACTAAACGATTTATTTGGTCTATTATTTTTAAATAATCATATTTTAATTAAAATAGTATACAAAATTTATTAAGTTTCTTTAGAGCTAATTTTAGTAAAAAAATAAAGATCAAAACTTGTAAAACTTTTTTAAAGATAATTTTAAGGATATAATATATTTTTAATTTGTTTTCTTTACCATCAAATCAACTTTAGATAATATAATTTTATTTTTATAATTATCAAAATTTAATTTTTTTCGTGTATTTTATAATGATAATTTTTATTGTAGTTTAATATTAATATGATAATAAAATTGACTATTATTGTAATTTTTTTTATTTTACTAAAAAAATATTATTATTAGATAATTAATTATATTATAAAACATATTTTATTAAATTCCGACTAAACTTGACTTGTCCCATTTTAAAACTATTAATTTGAGTTGACAACGCAGTTTTATGATACAAGTTATTGAAAATATACAATTCTGAAATAATATCAAAATATTGTTTAGATGATGTGTATAAGTGGAAGACATTTATCATTCCATAAATTGATTTTATATTGCAGATCATGTCTTTAAACTTTAACCCTTATTTGGAAAAGCCTGAAAAAATGGATGATAACATAGGAACGAAAGCATGGTTTATTATCCCCTTTCATGCTTTGGAACACCAGATAAAGTGAAAGAGTGAAAACATTATTGTGAACAATAAATAAGGAAAAAGAAAATCACAAAAATCAAGTTTCTGTTACTAAAGAAATATTGCTTTAATTTGTTATAAACTGAAAGTCCTAGCCACTTTTATTTGTTATGAGATAGAAACTTAAAACAAGAACAATAAAGAGCAATATCACATACATAAAATTTATACTCATGTGTTTGAGTAAATAACTTATAAAATAAGTCATTTTGAGTTTATTCAAACGCTCTTTTATTACGATTATTTATTTTGACTGACTTTTTATTTTCTTTGATAACAATGTGGCATTGACAAATGATCGATTCCCTCCAATCAGATTGATTTCTGTCAAGATCAACATTTTTACAATTGAAGTATGAAAAATAATCTTCCTGTGAATTTTGCTTTTACTTTAATCCACTATTATTTCGTTAAAATAAAATTAATATACTTAAACCAAACTATTTTACTTATCAATTTAGTAAACCCATATACATCTCACCTAGATTAAGGTTTTGTTGAAATTTACACTAAACAAAATCATTTTAATCAGACATAAAATTTAAATGTAATTCAGAATTTAATAAATAAATTATTTAAAGTAATTATTTAATAAAAAGTATTATAAAAATATCATATATAAATAATTATTTATATTTATAGTTTTATTTTTTATATAATTTCATATTCAATCTATAAATAACATAACACATTACATAAATTATAAGAAACTACTTAGTTGATTTATAAAAAATAACATCTCATATTGTATTATAATTTTGATTTTATTTAGGTTAATTTTCAACTGTCAAAATTTTAAATTTTTTTACCAGTTTTTATTTTATTTTTTAATAATTTAGTTTTAAACATATCTCATTATATGATTTTTTAATTAATAAAAATAATGTATATTAATATAATTGAGTACCGGTAATAAATAGGGATTCTGGATTAAAATATTTTAAGTTATATTTAGAATTTGAGTTGCGTAGATAAAAAAATATAATTGAGAAGGAATACTTACTTGTTCATATAAGTTAATAATTGACAAAACTAATAAATACTTTACATCAACGTCATAATAATAATAAAAATGTTAATTGATACATACAAAATAAATAAATAAATCAATAAAATTGAAAAACTACATATAAAACGTGAAACCAAACACTGTTAAGTTGATGCAATTGAATCACGTATTTATTAAATTTAAATAATTTTTTATTAGCATGTAAAAATCTCAAAATATTTTTGAAAATGAATGTGCTAAAGAGTTTATATGTCTACTTTTTTATATAATTATTTTTTAATTTGTTATTTTGTTCTCTCTATCTTTTATATATATCCTACATTTTTCGTATATTTATTATACATCATATTTGTTGTCTTTGGTTCCCATGACAACAACAACGGTTATAAAATTAATATTTCTTTATATAACTAATGAAAACATAAATACTTAAAAGATACATTTATTTACATTTTTTTATATTATACTTTTTCTCTTTATTTATACATGTTATACTTTTTTTTATTTTTCTTACATCTTTCTCATTAAAAAAAATATATATATATATATATATATATATATATATATATTCTGTAAGTATTTTTCGTTTCCTTTCTCAATGCATGTTTTTTTTCTCCCTCCCGTTGCACCCAAAAGAAAAAAAAAAAACTAACGTCATTATCAAAGAGAATATAATATTAACTTAAAAGAAATTTCAAAACTGATTTAGGTCATTTTCAACTGGTCCTTTTTTTATTAAGATGGCCCAACATTGCTAGCTGTTAGTTTTGGATAGGAGGGCCACATAGTTTTCCATCCTCTCTCTCCATCCATTGATGTAAATGCTGGGCTTAAAGATTAAGAATGGGCCCAATTACGCAGCCAATGAACAAAGACATGTTTGCGATTGCCCAACACCACAAAAAATGCACTTGCGGAACCTTATATTAGAATTTTTTTTTATATTGTCCACACAGTTTTATAATTGAATTTTTAAAATAAAAAATTATCTGTATTCATATTTCAGTCACATTCCATAATCTAACATTAGTTATATTTACATTAATTTAAAAAAAAAAAAAAGGGGATAGGAACAAAATCTGTCAACTCTTTATTGACATTTGGACTCCGAAATTATTATTAATTTGGTGGAAATTAATATCAGTCCATTTTTATTTAATTCCTTTCACTCAAATATTTTTTACTAGTATTACAAATTTAAGTTATATATATATATAGAGAGAGAGAGGATTTACAACAATTACATCAAACTCAATTAACTTTCGTATTACTATATACTTAAGGGTATATTTATTTTATTCAAAATGGTTTTTTAATTGTTTTCAAATGTTAAAAAAATCATCAGAATACATATTTTGCGATAATTAATTCTCAAAATAAACCTATATTTTTAAAATTCAATATATTCCCTAATTAAGAGTTAATATTTCATCTCTTGAGATATTAAAATTCATTTGAAGAACTTTCAATAAATAATTTTTGTATGGACAAGCCTTTACATGGATGCCATTTTTAGTTTCATAAACCAAGAAAAACATAGCATAGTCAATCGTGTTTACATTAAGACACGAAATAATTACAAAAATTACGAATATTTTTATTAAATTTATACTAATTCAATATTTCTTAAATTTTGAGCTAAAAGTTAATACTAATAAAATTTTACATGAAATGGTAATATTACTAAATTCAAACAGCAGAAAAAGCTAGAAACAAAACAGTTATTGGAAGTATTTTTGAAAATAATGCACGGAGTATGATGCCACGTGTACTTAAAGTGCATTTAGTGAATTCTAAGTATTATAAATGATATATTTAATCTATATACAGTACAATGTTTTAATTTGGATAAATCTATGTGGCAAAAATTATTCCCACCATTATTTAAAAAAAAAATAAACCTTATGGACAAGATCATTTAAAAATTTAAATGTTTTTAAAATAATTATATTTTAAAAGAATGAATTACTTTAAATCAGATTTACTTATTAAAAGATGAAAAATATAAAAAAAAAACAAATTTTATTAAATAACCACCTTGTAAAGAAAAGTAGTACAAACAAAAAAACCTCACTTTATTACATTCCGTGCAAACAAGCACTGCACGCAGTTGATATCAAGAGATGTAGAAACCTCATTATTTTTAAACAAAATTAAGTTAAAACTAAATTTTTGATAACCTTGTTATTTTAAATAACATAAATTAAATTTCAATATGTCTATAAATAAAAAATCATTTAATAACTACTGTAAATTATATTCATGGAAAACAAATTGTCTCTGGTGTTGAATACTTATAGTTCCTAATCTTAGAATAGTAACCGGATAACAATCATACTCACTCAGTATAAGATAGAGATGATATTTGGACATCTAAATATTCAATCAACATTTAAATTTATTAATATAATAATTAATATTATTATTATATTAATTTAATAGATATTCTTTGAACATTTTGATTGTCGATAAAAAAAAGTTTATATAAAAAAACATATCAATAATAAATTAATAATTATATATCAGAATACCAACCAATTAATTAAAATAAAGTTAATATTAATTTTATATTATTATATTTTTTAAAAATATTTAATTAAATAATATTAAACTCATTTATATAAGTATAAATTATATTTAATTATATATTAATAATATGATATTTTTTAATTGATGTGAAATTTTATCATTTTCTTATATTAAAGATATTTTTTTATTTTATTCTCATCGTACCCTTTCACCTTAACAATACATTTTCAACATAGTATAAAAAAATATTTTCATTTTTTAATATCCTTAAAATTAATTATGATATTATCTTAAAAATTATAAAATTTATAAATCTAATAATATTGAAATATACAAATATTTCTTGAGATAAGTAAATGTGATAAAATTTCACTTTAATTATAAATATGACACATTATAATATATAATTGATATAATTTTTAGATTTTAAGTAATTCATCATTTTTAATATATATATATATATATATATATATATTAATTTAACTAGTTGTATGATAATTTTGAGTTATAAGAGGTCACATGGAGAGTTTAGGGTTTAATACCTTGCTTTACTTAGATATGCCAAAACCTATGCTGAAGTTAAATCCATTGATCTTCGTTGCACGTGGAACAGTAATATATAGAAAGAAAATTAAAATTAAACAAACTTCAAAAATTGGTAGCCACATTTGTGTGAAAAAAATCAGCCCATACGATGCAAGCTGTGTGTTCAGTCAAATTAAGGATATTCCACATTTAACTAGTAATAATCGAATACAATGTCCTACGTAATCCGAAACACGCCAACCCCACTCAATACGTACTTTTCTGTCATAATGTTTGAATACATTCTTTGGATATAAACCTGATTACATGGAGGACAGGAGTAAAGTTGATGTGTCTTCTCAATCGTATAATCCTTTCAACCAATGATATGAATGCACAAGTCCCCTTTTAAGGGTTAACACCTTATCCCAATGCTTCAACCATTCAAGACGCTAATAATTATTCTTCAAGACAATTCAATTGGCGTAGGTTATAGAGTAGCTACCAAGTGTCACTGGATACAATTACTGCACAATCAATGTGAGTTTGACCACTAAAATAGTGGGTTGGCTTTGGAGTAGGATTTGGGTCTGTGTCAGTGATTTTGTCCACAAAATGACTCCTCAAGTTGGAAGGGAGACTGGCTCAAGCTAATTTCTTCCTGGTCCTGGGCACTAGGCTCCCCACTATTCTACAATTCCCGGATACCCCGTGAAAACCATCATGCACTTCACATCTTTTGATGTGTCAGCTTCTCCCTTTGCAATCTGCATCTGAATGCAGTTGTCTATAACATGTGTCAATCATATAAAACAGTAAATAAATATTTTTACACCGGTAATAATTGAGAATAAAAAAAAAGAAATTTAGATCATTCCAAAAAACAACTAACTTTTAATATAATAATAATTATAAATTATTTTTATTTTATCTTATATTTTTATTATTATTATCTTAATATATTAGAGTTGTTTAGAAGATTATCTCCTCTTTCCTTTAAGATTAGTATGTGGTAACATAGATTGTGTTACATACACTTCTATTTTGTGAGTGTGCCGGTGTGCTCCAATTCATTACAAAAACATTTAAATATAAAACTTAAATATGATCTAATTTAGTTTGTTTTTTATTTTTAAAATTTTTAAATCAAATTAAATTAATATTTTACAGATTAATTTAAACATTCTTTATAATTTTTTCATTATAAAACATATTATAATAAAATAATTATTTAATAAGAAATATATGATAAAAATATTATATATAATTAATTGTGATCTTCCTAATTTCAATTTATTTATATTTAATTTTTAAAAAATAATAAATATCCTAAATTATAATAAATCAATTACAAAGTTTTAATATATATTATAATTTAGATTATTTTGGTTTGCGTTAATTGAAAATTATTTCAAAATTTCTGAATTGAAAAAAACTAAAAATGTTCAATCTTCATTTTATTTTATTTTTTTTAGAAAAAAAAACTGGTACATTTCACCATGATTGGGATAATGAAAAGAGAACATGTATTGCAATCACAAAAATAAAAACAAACAAACACAGCAATGTCGGGTGCATTGAGTTGGTCACTACTTGTGCTTAACATAAGCATTTATTATAAGAATGATATTTTTTTTCTTGTAAAAGAAAAAGAAAGGTAGATATTTTTAATGCATGACTGAGTTCCTTATGTGTACACTACAACTTGGAAAAAGGCAGATATTTTTAATGCATGGCTGAGTTGTTTATTACACTAAAACTTGGAACTTCCTATTTGACATCAAAATATCTTCATATGAGTATTGGATTTCCTTCTGGTCATCAAAATAACTTATTAATTTCTAATTCTTCTTCTATATTTTAAAAATCTATTCATGTCTAAGCACTCCCTTATATACTTTATGACCCTTAAAAAAACGTACAAATTGTGCAGTATGTCACTCACTGGATTATGTTTTTGGTCATCGCTTCATAAATGAGAGGATTTGTTGACCAATCAACTTCATTGAGAAAATGCTAATAAATGTTTTTAAACATTAGTCAATAAATTAAGAGAATTTTTAAAAAAATTTGTTGTAAATTATATTTTTAATTTTAATGGGAGTTGTAAATGCATTTTATTGGTATAATTTTCAATACATTAATAAAATGTTAATATACTTAAATTATCGACTTCTAATGGTAATGTATGGTTTCCAGTAGCATTTTTGAATTTTGGAAAGTGGAAACATCCGTTTCTTAATGTCAACAGGTCTTGGAACACGTTTTTAATTGGTAAATTATTATATATATATATATATATATTTATATTTATATTTATTTATCTATTTTGTTTCAATTTTTTCCATCAATTAATAAAAAAATAATATTTTATAATTATTTATGAGATATTTTAAAAAATTTGACGTGATTTTTTTGTTTGTTGAAACATTATCTGTCCAATTGGACTTACGTAGTTGACAGATGCGTTGAATAGTGGGGATATGATATTGTACTGTTTGGGATGGCCCTAGTAAACAAGAAGTAAGATGGAAAATATGACGTTTCTTAACTGTCGCGGGGAAGATAGCTGTTGTGAGGGGGTGACCGGGGAACACTTTTTTTAATTAGGGGATAGGACATCTATTCCTTGAAGGTGATTGGAGCAAAAGATGGTGTCAGAGACGTGGCGAGGTGCTATTGGGTGATCTAGGAGCTTGATCCTGTACGATGCGGTGGGACCAACAAGCTGGGAATGTTAGTACGACGTGGCTCATCGTCCACCTAGTTATGCTTCTGAGGTCTACGCTCACCCAACTCGCTGTCTCACCCTGACTCAGCCACTCCTTCAGACCCACTCCCATACACTTCACGTCCCCTCACTTACCCAACTCTGTCCTTTTGCTACTCACTGATTAGTAGTTACACGTTTGCTTACAACTTGCATGCAATTCAACAACCACAAGAGTTTACATACAAATTAGAGTTTTAGTTCAATCTGAGTACCATAAAAGGTTTTGATTAAAGGTCATTGAAATGAAATGAAATTTCACCATAAGTGGAAAATAAATCCACAAATCTATATGAACTCTCTACTATTCAACTTTTGATTAGGATTTAATAATCCTAATCAACCATATTTAAATACTACTGGTGAAGTCTTTGTTTGGGTTCAGATCGTCTGTAGGATCTAGGACTTGAAATTAGTCATTAAAATTATTAATTTATTTTACAAATATTGATAAATTAATGTTTAAAAATCATAAATGGAAGATTGATGGTCATGCAAAAATTCAGTGGAGGGATTTCGTGTCCCTCTTTCTCCTGCCACTTAATTAACGCATCTATAGGGAGATGCATTGCTAATTAATAGCATTAATTCAAGGGATATAAAGTGATAGGGTCACCTAACAAATTCTAAAAGGTGAAAAAGACAATTCTTCAAGCAAAGCATACGGTTGTGACTAGTAGTAAACTAAAAAACATACCTCCCCCCAAACATGTGTATGCATACTCATACAGATGTATATCATATCAGAAAGTGAATGAAGATGTGGAAGAAAGATAGGATATAAAAGTAACTTTTTTATTTTAATGCCTCTACTTAGAGAAAAAAAGGTAGAGTTCGTGTAGATGCATGTAAATTATGCCCGGCAACATCATTCTGCTGGTTCAAATAGAGCCAATGGGAACTTGTTGTCTGCACTAACGCAAGCAGATTAAAAAGGACAACACATACAGGTGAAAATGACTCGGAAAAAGGAACGGCCTCACAGAAAAGATAACAAAAGTAAGATATCGCATATGTTACCATCACAAACTTGGACCACAAATCACAAACTCTCAAGTTCATCCCATGAAGATTAAATCATAATAACAAGTTATCCTACAGTGTCCAAATTCCCTTTATAATAGCCCCCACCATGCAACCCGTTCTTTATCCCAATCTCATCTCATCTATTCCATTCTCTTTGCGTAACTAGTTTCTGTCCAATTCCCATAAAGCAACACTAACCACAGAAGTTCATGGCGACTCCCAATAATAGGCTTTCTCTCGCCATGGAGAGAACCGGGCAATGGTAAACATACTCAACTAACTTCATTTTCAAACACATGCACCATGCATGCAGATGCTTACTAATATTGTACTCTAATAAATCTCCATAATAACCATGTTCTTGCCTCTTCTTTTTCTGCAGGGTTTTCTCTCAAGACATACCAACAGATGTTATAGTTGAAGTTGGAGAAACCACTTTCTCTCTCCACAAAGTGAGTATATTATGACTTGACTCATTGCTAACAATTATGTGGCTACTGGTTCATGCATGTCACTGAAAAGGGTTTTGAACATGTTTGGTGCAGTTCATGCTGGTGGCAAAGAGCAACTACATAAGAAAAATGATACTGGAATCAGAAGAGAGCGAACTCACTAGAATCGACCTCTCTGATATACCAGGAGGCCCTACAATCTTTGAAAAAACCGCAAAATTTTGTTACGGCATCAACTTTGAAATAACTGTCAACAACGTCGCCGTTTTGAGATGCGCCGCGGAGTTCCTTGAGATGACGGATCAGTACTGCGAAAACAACCTCGCCGGACGGACGGAGGAGTTTCTCACGCAGGTTGCGTTCTTCACGCTCACTGGCGCCGTCACCGTCCTCAAGTCCTGCCACTACCTCCTCCCCTTCGCTGACGAAATCAACGTCGTGAAACGCTGCGTCGAGGCCGTTAGTGCCAAGGCCTGCAGCGAGGCCAATTTTCCCAGCCGCTCGCCACCGAACTGGTGGACGGAAGAGCTAGCAGTTCTCGACATCGATTTCTTCAGCAGAGTCATCGCCGCCATCAAGCAGCGAGGCGCAAAGGCTCTCACCGTCGCCGCCGCGCTCATCACCTATACGGAGCGTGTGCTCCGAGATCTCGTCCGCGACCACACTGGCAACGGAATCCACTCGTCAGATCCCGGCGATTGCGATTCCAGATCCAAACAACGCCAGCTTCTGGAATCAATCGTGGATCTCTTCCCCGCCGAGAAAGCAGCGTTTCCGATCCACTTCCTGTGCTGCCTCCTCCGTTGCGCGATCTACCTCCGTGCCTCCACCGCCTGCAAAATGGAGCTCGAGAAGCGAATTTCCGCGATCCTCGAGCACGTGACCGTCGAAGACCTCCTCGTGCTCTCGTTCAGCTACGACGGCGAGAGACTCTTCGATCTCGAAAGCGTGCGTAAAATAATTTCCGGATTTACGGAGAATCATAAAAGCAATGCGGTTTTCACCACCGGCGACTTCAAAGAACCTTGCTTCACCGCGATGCAGCGCGTGGCGAAAACCGTCGACGCGTACCTCGCAGAGATCGCCGCCCACGGCGATCTCAGCATTTCGAAGTTCAACGGCATCGCCATCCTGATTCCTAAAAACGCGCGTAAGGTCGATGACGATCTATACCGCGCTGTAGATATTTACCTCAAGGTACGTTACATTATTACACCACGTAACAGTTTATTCTCGTTCTGAAACATTGAGTCGGAGAAAACGACAGCTTTTAACGGTTTACCTTTTGGTCCTTGCAGGCGCATCCGAAGCTGGATGAGATAGAAAGAGAGAAGGTATGCAGTGTGATGGATCCGTTGAAACTTTCATACGAGGCGCGTGTGCACGCGTCGCAGAACAAGCGTTTGCCGGTGCAGATTGTGCTGCACGCGCTTTACTACGACCAGTTGCGGCTGCGGAGCGGGCCGGAGGAGCGTGAAGTGACGTCGGAGAAGAATCAGCTTCAGATGGATGTTTCGTTGGTGAGAGAGAACGAGGAGTTGAGATCGGAGTTACTGAAGATGAAGATGTACATTTCTGATTTGCAGAATAAGAACATTCATAACGCCGATAACACTCAGGGGCATGGAACGACGTCGTCTGGAACCACAAAAAAAACAACGTTCTTCTCCTCTGTGTCGAAAACGCTGGGAAAGTTGAACCCATTCAGAAACGGGTCGAAGGACACGACCCATTTGGAAGATGGAAACGTTGATTTGACCAAGCCCAGAAGGAGAAGGTTCTCTGTGTCATAAAACTTAGAAGTTAAATCGATTGAATTAAATTATTAAGTCATCGTGGTTATGGTTCTTCTTTTTAGGGAGTTTGGAATTTGTGTTGTGTATGTGCAGAATTTATATATAGCTTTCGGGTATGTTTCATGAGGGTTCATGGATGATGCCAATGAGAAATGTGTTCTGTTCTGGTTGTTGCCAACTTCTCTCATCATATCGTGTAAAGTATTTGTTTGTTTGATACATTGTGTATATAATTTTGAAGAAAAAACCTTTTGCAGTCTCTGATACGGTTTGGTCATCCTTGTTTGTAGTTGTAGTCTGATTTGTTGGAGTTGAGAATGGAGACATTTATGTTATACGTGGTAGAGAGGATTCGGAGGACGGGGCAGATGATTTTAATTTGGTTTGTTGGATTAGGGAATAACATCAAAGAAAATAATTTTTACAACTAATGATATATATATTATATTATTTTTATCAATCTTTATCTATCTTTTATTTTTTAATAAATTAATTCAATTATACAATTTTTAAAACCATCTTTTTCTTTTTTATTCCACCAAACCATTAATTGACGCATTTTAACTCCAAACCTTAATTTAGGATGGAATTATATAAGCTTTTCTTTTCGTTTTTTTTCTCGAGGACCATATATCTAACTTTATTATTAAAGAAAAATGGCAGTGGTCTTCCAAACAATCTAACCTGTACTTCAATTCCCATGTGTGTGAGACGCAGAGTTAGTCTTCTTCTTCTTTTTTTTAACTATTTTTTATATATTTGTACAATTTTAATATTTTTCAATATTTTGCGAAACAAACTCCAAAGCTTCGTGTATTTAACATAATTGTAAACCAATTACAATTATCTGGTATCTCTTTTATAAGTATGGGGATAGATTGCGTGATCATTTTTAAAATAGTCTGAGATATTTAGAAATAAAAAATGCCACAAATTATGTTGTGAGACTAAAATATAAGAGTGGATTGTTGCTAGAAAAAACAAAGTGAGATGATATTTTTAATGCGATAATTTCTCTGTTATTTTTTCATTTCATAATGGCTTTCTGTGTGTGACGCATGTTTTTAATCTTCACATAAATTAATTAACATATTTTTTTTAATATATATATCTAACGAAGTTTTTTTATAAAAAACTATACCGGTTCTAGAACTTACTAATGAATTTTGTTATTAAGATGATCATAACATAATAATCAAAGTAACTTCTAATTTTTTTTTATTGTCTACTGTTAAATAAATGATTTTTTTGGAAAAGATTGTTTGACACCCACCTTTTAATAAATATATTTCTTACAACTTTATATTAATAATATAATAATATTTTTATTATTATAAAATTTATTTATGATTATTATAATAAAAAAGAAATTATATATAGGCATGGCAACAGTAGGCTGGGGCGGGGTTTGCCTCTCCGATTCCCGCCCGACTTTTTAACAATCTCCGTCCCCATCCACGCCGGAGTTATAAATTAAGTCCCCATATCCGTCCCGTTGAGTTTCGGGTTCTCGCCCGCCCCGTCCCGTCCCCGATTTATATGTATTTTTATATATAAATAATATTTATAATTTATAATTATTATTAATTAAATATAGATTTTAATTTATTATATTTATATTAAAATATATATGTAAAAGAATTATTTTAACATTATTTATTTATATATATATATATCTAATATTTATAACATTATTATTACTATTATTATTATAATAACACTGTATTCAAATATTTGAATATTTATAATATTATTATTATAATACTGTATTTAAACAATTGATTATATATATAAGTTAATTCATTTTTAAGTTGTCATTAAAAATATGAAATATATAGTTTATAAGGAAATATTTAATAAGTTAATTCTTATTTAATTAGTTTGAAGTAATAAAAGTTTAAATTATTAATTCCTTCTAATCCTTTAAAATATAATTATTTTATTAAGATAAAATTTGATATATGATAAATAAGCATAATAAGATAAAAAAATATGACATAATAAAATATAATAAATATAAATTATAAATAAACTAATATTAGTTACTACTAAGATTTATGTAAAATATTTAGAAAAAAGATAAAGAAGAAAAAAAACTTTGTGTTCATCAAATTGGTTGAAAAGATTGAAAAAAATAAATAAATTGATGGGAGAGATTAAGGAAATGTGAAAAATTTAAAGATAAGAGAAAGAATAATATAATAAATTAATTGATATAAAAGATTGAAAAAGATAAAAAAAAAAGTGGGTAGAAGAAAAATAAAAATTGGTGAAATATAAAAAAATAACCTTATATATAATAGAAAAAGAAAATGAAATAGTTTTAAAATATTAATATTTTAAAATTTAAATTTAAATATAAAGACGGGGTCGGGGTGGGGATTGTATTACTCATTCCCGCCTCGCCCGACTTTTAAAGCGGTAAAACCGAACCCAACCCCGCCCGATCAACTCGGATTTTCCCCATCAAACTCGAGACGAGAACGGATCGATCCCACGAGTACGAGTTTAATTGTCATTCCTATAGTTTGGATTTTTTTTCTAAGGATGGTCATTATATAGCTTCCTCTTATTTTTACACATTTCTCACTCGTATCTTAAAAACAATACTATCTACATAAACGAAACAATACGAAATTATATTGGTTTAATCAGTATTTTTGAGCCTACATTTTTAATATGTAATTACTTTAAAATATTTAGTAGAAGAATTATGTCATTCATATATACTAATTTTTTTAGTTGAATAATAATTTTCTCCCGTTATATTATTTCTATAAAAATAAAACACAATAGTAATTACGGTATCTATATTATTAATTTATAAAGAGTTATGAAATTGTTTTTGAATGTATGTATTTTTTTATATAAAAAATAATAGAATAGAAATGAAAGACGTTAAAAAAGAGAAAAAAGAAGAAGAAGAGAGACTGTGACAAGATTTATGTGTTTTCTTTCTTTCTTGTTTGGGTTTTTAGTCCAGCACTTTCCTTTATTGAGTGAAGACTTGGCCCAAGTCCAATTTATTTTCTTCCCTGACACGCCAAAGAGGTCATTTTGGTCATTCCATATTTTTCTCATCAAATATCATCAAAACCCAAAAAGCAAAAGCAAAATCCTTCAAATACAAAGAAATCCGTTCGGTCCATTCGTTTCCCATTTCACACTCCAAACCCTACTCTCCCAAATTCTCATCAATGGGTTCCTCCGCGATGGTATTGGACCCGAAACCCTCATCGGAGCCACCTCCCTCGTTCCCGGCAATCAAATCCGACTATCTCCAGGGAGGCTTCGGCGGCGGTGAAACCGACGAGGATGACCTCTACAGCCGCCTTAAGTCCTTCCAGCGTCAGCTTGAGTTCATCGACATCCAGGAGGAGTACGTCAAGGACGAGCAGAAGAATCTGAAGCGCGAGCTGCTGCGCGCACAGGAGGAGGTCAAACGGATCCAGTCGGTGCCGCTCGTGATTGGCCAGTTCATGGAGATGGTCGACCAGAACAACGGCATCGTTGGATCCACCACTGGATCCAACTACTACGTACGAATCCTCAGCACGATTAACCGCGAGCTTCTCAAACCCTCCGCCTCCGTAGCGCTCCACCGCCACTCCAACGCGCTGGTTGACGTCCTCCCGCCAGAGGCCGATTCTAGTATCTCGCTCCTCAGCCAGTCCGAGAAGCCCGACGTTACATATAATGTTAGTTTGTGTACATTTTGTCTTTTTCACTTACCGATTATAGAGGAATGACGATACCTAGGGTTTCGGGCTAGTGCTGGATTGGTTTCTTTTGCTTTTTGATTTTCAGTTGCAAATTGCTTAGGGTATGTTGTGGCTTTCTCGCTCCTTACCGCCGAATTGGTTTCTTTTGTTTTTAATTTTCGATTGCGTCTTGGTTAGGGTTTGCTGCGTATAATGAGAATTTCGGTCGATTGAAGTTTTTTGTAAGTTATTCTTAGTTGGGGATTGGTTGAGCTTTCTTGATGCTGAATGCAAATTTAGGCTGGTGATTAAGGTTTTAAGTTGCTTTTCTTTTAAAGGTGATCAAGGTTTCAAATTGCGGTTGGTGGTTTCGTGATATTGTGAGCAGTTTCTTGATTGTTGGAAATTGCAGGCAGTTTCAATAGTTTCTTGAAATTGTGGGACTTGATATTGCGGGTAGTTTCTTAATGGTGGGAAATTGCAGTTAGTTTTGATGTTTTGTTGATATTGTTGGTAGTTTCTTGATAGTGGGAAGATGCGGGTTGTTTCGGTTGTTTTTTTTTGTCTAATATTGTAGGACTTGGTACGTGGCAAGTTGTTGGGTAGTTTTTGATAGTGGTAAATTGTGGGTAGTTTTAGATGGTGCTAAATTGTGGGTAGTTTCTTGGTATAGTGGGAAATTGCGGCTGATGTGGTAACAATTGCAGCAGCAGACACTCGTAGTACCTTGATGTTGTGTGCACGACATTGTAGTTTTAACACATTGAAGATAAGAATAGAAGTTGCATGATGGATGTTTTGCTTGAGAGAACCTAAGTTGGATTCATGCTATGTTTTTTATGTTTTTTCGGTAAGGCTGGATTTTGAATGACTGGAGGATATGAGGTTTGAGTTACTACGGTTACTACTTATGTGCTTTATGGTATACGTCCTAGACATATGATAACAAACATAGTTGATGGACTTCTTCCCTTTGGTTTCTGAGTGAGTTTTTCACTATTATTAAACATCCAGAAAACTACTTGGCGCCGTCAAGGATGTTGAAGAATGTTTTAACTAGGAGCCTTGATCACTTGAACATGACAAGTGTTGAGTTTTTATAGGAATTATAGTGTCTTGGTATAGTCATTGCTATTTAAGATTTATTTTTTTCTTCCTAACTTTTTGACTTAGTAAGACCAACAAGTAAGCTTGGGTTGTTTATTAAATATGCAGGGTGGATTCCAGGATTCTGGTGCTATATGTTAAACATATAGATGATTAGATTTTTATTAAATTATGTGCTGTATTTAATCTAAGAGGTTCCAAAGATTGACACTGAAAATTTTGGTCCATCATTCTGTTTTTAGGACATTGGAGGATGTGACATCCAGAAACAGGAAATCCGTGAGGCTGTGGAGCTACCCCTTACACATCATGAACTATACAAACAAATTGGTATTGACCCTCCTCGTGGAGTTTTACTGTATGGACCCCCTGGCACTGGCAAAACTATGCTTGCCAAAGCTGTTGCTAATCATACGACTGCTGCCTTCATCAGGGTCGTGGGATCTGAGTTTGTGCAAAAGTATCTTGGTGAGGTATGATTTTGATAACATCTGCTTTTGGATGTGATTTGACAATGTTGTAACTTACTCTTAGTTTCTTTTTGAAAATCATGGTTTTCCAATTCATTGCTACTGATGCTATTCAGCTATCGTGCTACATATATACATTTATGTTGCATGAGGCTTATATATTTTACTAGTACGGGACTATCTAATTTTTTTACAATAATTTGATCTTAAGGTAAATATTAATATTAATAATACGTAAAATATAATGTATATTATTCACACCTTGAAATAATAAAGAGATTGAGAAATAAGTAGCACATTTGTTAATCTTTAACAATAGTAAAGTAAAATATATTAGTATAATAATTTTGTAAAATTTATATATGGCATGAAAACCATAAATATATTAAAGAATATTGTCATTTTATACTGCAAAAAACATATCACTTACCTAAACTATGAAGGATCAAAGAGAAAGAGAATTTTCAGAATATTGTGCAATTGTACTTATCATCAATGAAAAATTATAAATTGTTTTAAGCCAATGATCTTAATTATTGTTGTTCATCAAATTTATGAGAGCTTCAAGTTCATGAGTTGTATGTTTTTATCAATGGCTTACTGCAATTTCTTCAAATATTACCTTTATTTATATTTCAGGGTCCACGTATGGTTCGGGATGTATTTCGTCTTGCAAAAGAGAATGCCCCTGCCATTATATTCATTGATGAGGTTGATGCAATAGCCACTGCTAGGTTTGATGCCCAAACTGGAGCTGACAGAGAAGTACAGCGTATCCTTATGGAACTTTTGAACCAGGTATCTATGAAATGATATTTTTGAAAGGTGCTTTGAGTATGTTGTGTACTAATATTGGTAGTTAGTTACTAAGGTATGCTGAGCTGTGGTGAATTAGTTTTTGTTTATCTCTTAACCTCTGGCTACTTGTTTGATTACATTATCGTTGATTTTAGATATTCACTGAAGCTTTGGTTTAATTACCCCATTTTTGTTTTCATCAGATGGATGGTTTTGATCAAACAGTTAATGTTAAAGTCATAATGGCAACTAACAGAGCAGACACCTTGGACCCTGCTCTGTTGCGTCCTGGAAGACTTGATCGTAAAATTGAGTTCCCTTTGCCTGATAGACGCCAGAAGAGGCTTGTATTTCAGGCAAGCCTTTTTTGTTATTTTATATATTTTTCTTTCGGATTGTGACAGGATTCATGTGTATTGGAGATTATGTTTAAGTGGAAAGTTTCATTTTGTTTTGCAGACTTTCTGTCTCTTTTATCTTTAAAATTTTAATTAGTTTAACCTATTATTTGTTTGATTGAGTAGGTTTGCACAGCCAAGATGAACTTGAGTGATGAGGTAGACCTTGAGGATTATGTTTCCCGTCCAGACAAAATCAGCGCTGCTGAGGTTTGTTTACATCCTGTCCTATAATATTTGTGCCAATAATTTATGTAGGAAAATGCTTGTTATCCATTTTATGACCATTTGTCTAACTATTCAATTTTTAGAGTTTATTGTTTGTTCACATTCATCATCTTCGTTAGAAGGCTTGAAGCAATGTTGAGAAACATAGGGGATTGGTTGGCGGCTTCTTTTAGATTCATATCAAATAACCAGCTAGCTTCCTTTAACCGGTTCAATTAAAACTGAAGGCATATTTTTTGATGAAATATCATCATTTTTTTATTGTTATTTATATTAATTGACTGGCATAATGATATTATTCCATGGGTAATTGTGGAACAGAGTTGAAGCTAGCTATTAGCTTTTTATCAATTTTCATAATAAAATCTGTAAAAGAACTACGAAATATCAAATTGTTATTGTCAGAAAGATAATATTGTGGAGGGACCTATTCTTCGAGCATAAAAGATCAGATAGGTAAAGAAAATTGTTGAGGATTGCTGTATGAAGAGGACATGTTAACTGTTTGATTGAAGAATAAGGATTAAAGTTTGCAAACGAAAGTTTTATTATTTGATGTTTGTTTGTGCCTGCAGATAGCAGCTATTTGTCAAGAAGCTGGAATGCATGCTGTTCGTAAGAATAGATATGTCATTCTGCCAAAGGACTTCGAGAAGGGTTATAGGACAAACGTGAAGAAGCCTGATACTGACTTTGAATTTTACAAGTGATGTGTAGCTTGCTTTTAGATTGGTTTGTGTGCTTGCAAAGGTCATATACAGGGTACATTTCTAGAGGAATCTTGAGTCATATATATTCACGTGAAATGACGCATTGTTTTTTTTTTTTTTTGTTGACCTTCCATCTAATTATGAAATTTAGATTATTTAATTTACTGAATATATTAATTGTGGCAGCTTTATATTCATTATGTACTGCATGTCTCTGATTCTTAATAACCCTGGTGGGCAAGAAAACAATCAGCACTATTTTCCAAATCAACAAGGGTGATTTGCTTATTTCTTCATTTTGCTTTGGTACTGTGTATGATTGATTGCCTGCGCAAATGGTTCTTATAAAAACGGGAGAAAATATGCTTGAGTAGCACGTCTGAAATTCTAATAATACGTAATTTACTTGAAATAATTCTCAAGACGAGTAAGATAGATGGGTGGAAGCAGTGGGTGATTTTTGAGATCATATAATATATTATTAATAAATAAAAAATAAATATAAATGGGAAATAAATATAAAAGGAGTTAAATAATATATTATTAATAAATAATACATTATATTTGAGAGGTGAAAATTATAAATTATTTGTAAAATTTTGGGGGATGTGGCAAAAGTGAGAGTAAAAGATGTTTGATTATTTCATAGTCTTCAATCATTCATTTTGATTTCTTGCTTGCTAGCAATATTGATGTAGGTTGCATAAAACGTTAATATTCATCAGCCATTGAATCATTACATATCGAGTTGGGGGTGTAGATGATAAGTGAAGAAGGGCAAGGAGAGGAACATGTTTATGATTGAAAGTATAAGTGTCTCCAGTAATTTCTTGACTGGGAATAACATACCTAGTTTCACATGTTATTTCAATGAGAATTAGAACGATTTTATACGCATTTGAGACTTAGTGACGATGAATCTCGTAAATGAGGATAAGCCATTCAAAGTTCTTTGTGGCTGCAGCAGCTATCTGTCAAGTAGGAATGTGTAACCACTGTTAAACCAAAACACATGAAGAGAAACCGTTGTGATACAAGTGAGAGGAAATTTTGAAGAGTATGGTAGGGCAAAGTCGGAATGCGCTGGGTCACGTGAACTCTCTTGGACCAAATTAACATTTCGAGTGTGTTTGGTCCCCAACAGAACAGGGAAATAAACAGGAAGAGACTTAGCATTAAGCAACGTATACACGGGGACCATGAAATAACCATTTAATGGATTTGGAGAACCATGCCCCTCTGGATCAACATGGGCTGAACCCGTGGCTATTACGTTAGACATCTTAAAATTACCAATATGCGTCACATAAAAGGGCAGATTCAAGTATGGGTATGTCTAGGAAACAATTGGTGACTCAGAACTATCCTCTGAATTGCTAGTTTTGGAATCTTTTCCTTTATCTTCATTATCATTATTATTACATTTACCTTGTTATTACTTTTCCTAAATAGTTAGTTGTTTACTTACTGCTTCGTTTATTACAGCCTCTGATAGTGAATAGATGGTATCATTTTCTGAAATATTTGCTTGCACTGTAATCTAACAAACACACTACAATAATTTCAGTAACCGCAAGCCAATAAAAAATAATGCACTCTTCTTCTATCTTTATTGAAATTCTGGATTTAATTGTGTGTGTGTGTGTTTTTTTTTTAAAATTTGTTGTTTTTATTTTTACAATTAAGTAAACTTATTTATGTCGTTAATTTTATTTTTATTAAAGCACTTGAATTTTCATTTTTTAGTCAAAATCATTAAATATTAAATCTATTATGCCACCTCAAGTTTACTAGACTATCCAACTTAACTTTCTTTTCATCAAACCCTTTAATTTATCAAATTCTCCTTAACTTTTAACTACTTCCATATTTCAAATAATATAAAATTAATATTTGAGAGATTTATATATGTTATGTTATAATAAATGGGATACAATCACTTCAACCAAGTAACATTTCAAGGTCAAACGAAAAACAAATACTTCAATATGAGGGAGAAACATAATTTCCCCTTTCTTTAACAAAATTAGGCATTCTACACGTTAATTTGTTAATAATACTTGAATCACTTGTATGAGTTTAAGTTTAACTTTTTTATATAACCAAACCTAAACCAAACCTAAATCAAACGTTAATCTCCAAACCCATCTATTTATAGAGATTATATAGGTGCATCTACATGCTATAACCATTTTTTATTATTATATTTTGTTTCGTAATTGAAATTATTTAATCTATCCCTTCAAGTAGCTTTGCATGGACAAAACATAATGGAATGAAAAATGAGTTGTTAATTAGGAGTTGTGAATTCTAAGATTCTTTGTAGTTTAAGGACAACAAAAACTTGCTGCTACAGTAATGATTTATAATCTGCAAAGTTGCAGTACCGTGTTGCTTCTTGTAATTACCACTTGTCTATTCCTTTGTTCTCCATGCGAGGCCCTTTTACATGATAGTTCTTACCCTACTATAATAACATTCCTTTAATAATTATCTTAAAGCATTATCAATAATATTTTACTAAACATTGCGTAATAATGCATTAAAAATTAAGATAAGAATTCAGTCTATGCTTTTAATTATAAAACATTATTTTGAAATTTTCTTGTCTTCTTTATAAAAGCATTCGTCTAATAATTGTTGAACAAAACACCCTTAATTATATAAGTTTATAAAAATTTAAAATTAAATTTTCACTGTTATTGTTCACTCTATGCATTAATTATTTAAGGGTAAATTTAGAGAAATATTATAATTATAGACAAATTGGATGTTATTAAATAAATTAATCAATTTTCATAATAAATGCCTAATTTTGCTACTTATTAAATATGATTTGGGATTTCTTACACCATTTTTCTTTCTCGTGAACCATATTAATTTGATTGCGCATAATGTGTATATGGATACGAAGAATAAGAGATGAAGGACCCTACGTTACGTAACACGTGCATCATTTCACCTGAAATTTTTGTCACTTTTTAATTTTTCAAATGTCACATTATTTGGTTTTTTAGGTGGCAATATTCGGTAGCAGACACTATTTTGCTATGCTGAGATCACCAACAAAACTTTATTAATTATAATTTAGAAGTAGAGATCAGATTACAGACACTACTCTTCACTTATATATGAGAAAGAAATTAATGGTAGAAGAAATAATCCAGAAACTAATTTCAAATTTTATAGAGTAAGTAATGCATGCATTATTACAAATAGCACAGGTTCACATTTTAATGTAAATGTAACCTATTCTTATTCGAAGTTTTAATGTAACCAGTACGACATCATTTGCATGCGCATGCCAGTGTTTATGCCATGTATTCAAAGTTATCATCATGGTATCTAATACCATTATACACCATTCAAGTTCATGATGATGATGATAAGTGATTGCACATAGTTGAATTGAAATATTCAAAGCCAAAATAATTAGATACTCTAACTAATATTTTTTCTAATTGCAATTTATTGTCGCCATTTTAATAATAACATAATTAAAGGACCCGTACAAGTTATTCATTCTTAAAACTTAGTAAATTTAAAATTCATTTAAAACTCTGTAGTGTATATAAAAACTATGTGTTTAGTTCATTAAAGTTTTTCAACAATAGAATTACGACTGAAATTAATTAAGCTTCAAAAAGGCAAGTCCAAGAAGTGATTTGAGATTTCTTTAATATTATCACACTATTTATAAAAAATAATAATAATAATAAAATTTCAATATTTTTTTTACCATCACATGTCAAGATATTATTCTTCCCTTTTTTTTCTCCAAGTCTTTTTCTCTCATGGTAGTGACGGAAAATAATCCTCTCTATTTTTTTTATATGAAAAATGAAGTTACGAAAATGACACTTATTTCTTCAAAAACTTAATAATGAACTAAAAAATGAAAACAGAGAGTATCTTTTTAATAGACTAGCATTTGATCTATGAAACATTATTCAGTTTCTAAGATGTTTTCTTTATCAATATTTCTCTTGCTACATTTTCTTTTTTATGATGTATATAGTTTCTTTTTCTCTCTCTCTTTTTTTTTTCTTTTTTTTTTCTTCATGAACACGTTCATTAGTCAATTATAAATCACCTTGTGAGGTCATAACACCAAAAACTATTAAAAAGAGTATAACTTTTGTAAATTAAATTTCAGACGTGTTATCTTAATATTTTCTGACATAAAAATCAAAGTATTCTCTTCAACATTTTCATTTATATTTTAGATTGATATTTTTTATGTTTTTTTTAATTAAGATAAAATCTAACCACTTTAATATAAATCTTATGAAAATGCCTTTTCTTTTTCTTACATAGTATGCCTATATACTTATTTGAAAAATATTTAGTATTATATAATTTGAAAAAAAGTATGCTTCACTCTTTCTTTCAAAAGTGAACAGAAATATTAAATAATTTATAATAATTTATTATAAATTATTATTATTATTATTAGCAATGGTTACTTAATTTTATCTGTGTTTGTTATTATTTATATATAATTTAAATATTTATAATTATTTAAGTTGCATTTTATACTTATATAAATATGATATTTCATTTGGTTTAATGAAATAAAATATTAATATTTATTATTTATTTCTTATATTATATATATATATATATATATATATATATATTATAGGGATTTTATTTCTTAACATGTTATAAGATGTTATTTCTTAATTATATATATTAGTTCATAACACAATTCATTTTAAATTGATTTATTTTTTATTATTAAAATTCTACTATGTTTTATTTCTAATGTATTTATTTTGACAAAGATGGATGAACACATGTCTAACTAGATAAACTAAAACAAGCAATTATCAAATTATTAAAAAAATCATAAATTTTGAGAGTCAAACATGACTTTAAATTAAATGTACCATAAACATAATTGTGTTTAATGATTTCAAAAATCATATTTCAAGTAATCTTTATGTTTTACCTATTATAAATACAGAGGATTTCATGAGAACATTTTCTATTTCTAA